ATTAGAAAGCAAATTGCAATCCAAGTTCTCGTTACGTACACTATTATGTATTCATGAGAAAAATCTTACGTTCAACTCTATTTTAACGTAATTTAGATGGAGTGCTTCCATGGGATTTTTTATATATAATCACGATAACCATAGATAATAGAGCGGAAATGTTTCCGTGTTTAAGTCATTTTATGACTTTAGGAAAGTTGCCGACGTAACACTAAACTCCATTCTGTTTTTAGATTTTTAAATTGGTTCTAACATTAAGGAAATTTCTAGAATAAAGTAAAATAATTTATTATAACTGAAATAGCTTTTAAATTAGGTATAAATAGTTTTACACAAAAAGGGTGATCGTAAACACGCAGTTTCATAATCTATGGGCATTATCAAAGAAGGGTAAAAATTAACCCAATACTTATACATTTTCAGATATTACGTAAAACAATAAACAACGAAGCAAATTTACAGTAGAATCAAACCGTGACATGCTCTTGACTTATTTAACACAAAAAATATAACCAGTCATGCCTCAAGTACCAAACGTAGCCAATTAATTTGTAACTTTATATAAAACGCACAGGCCTTAGTATTGGTTAGGCCTGCCACTTCCTCAAATACTTTTACTTGTTACTTGACTTTCGATATTCACCCTTGTTCAGTACAACTTAGAACTGATTATCGTTATGTAATTATTAAAATTTATATCGTATCCTGAAAACGAACGTAAGATATTCGAATCAAGTTATTATTAAGATGGAAATGCAATTCATTTGATCAGAAAAATAATGATTGTACTTTGATTGCTTGTATATGTCGTTGCTTAACTTTGAGACAGCGCGTAAGTATTCTTCTATGAATATTTCAAAGAACAAGTAATATGATATTACAGATTTTCTATGTGATTGAACAATGTGGTGGTTTATATAATGCAACACTGTCAATAACGGGTCTGAGACTTAAGTGACGGGATATCGTTAACAAACCGCGAATTTGCGTTCAATGGACTATCAAATGGTCACATAATTTAAAGGAAATTCTGACTCTTATTATGGCACGTTAATAACACAAAATGAATTTAAAACATATGATTCATAGCTTTTGTATTTATTATGAGTATAATGAGGTTTTGTTTTGTTTTGGGCTCGTCTATACATATACTTTCTTTATAAGTAAGTACATAAAAATGTTTGCTAAGTTTTTTTATACCCATTTTTTTTTGGTTCATTAACATAATGACATTTGAATTGAAGTATGGATTTAGATAAAGTTTATTGGGTTCACGTAAACTGTTAATACATATGGCACGTCATGATTCATAGACAATTTTTGTTTAGTTCATCAGAACTCAGAAGGTATGAGTCAATGTATTTACTTAGATAGATTTATCCTTTAACCCAAAATCAAAGCTTACTTAAATACGAATAATTCTCGACTTATACGGATTGAGACATTTTAATCTTTTTAGTATAAAATTAAAAAACAAATTCACCAAATTGAATTCTGTAAATGTCAATTGTAATTGCTGTTGTTATTTTTAATGTTTTTTTTTAATTTTTCCCTTCCCTGTTTTAGATATTTAAAATGTATCCTTGTTAGAACAATCTAAGCTTAATTGTAGAGAACATACTCATAGCGTGCGTGTAGAAGCGAGAGCGTGATTAATTTAATATTTTTTAAGGTGAAGTACATATAATGTTATGTATTCGTTCTAATAACAGACAGATTCGTGATATGCTATTTAATTTGTTAGTTTCAATTTAGTTATTAAATTTAATTACAGATTATTTTTACATCTGATATTACTAACTTTTTGATTTAAAACTACTGTGGTAGTAATAAATTTTATTTTATTATAGCAACTCTCAAATGTGTGTATAGATTATAGATTTTTAATACCATCTTACGGATAAATGGGAATGATAAACTTAATTATTATGAGATTACTGAATTCAACTTTATATAGTCACTTAGCCAGATGGTCAACCAAGTAAACAGGTTTTATTGATATAAGGTTTTATATAATTCAAATATTACCACTAACTATTCGAACTGAACGAGAAATCAAAGTTTGTCTTTTCCCTATAAAATTTGTATCGAAAGACATATTCAAATAAAAATATATATATTTCCTGTATTTTTAATAGTCTAGAATTAAATAACACGCAAATTAATTTAATATCCGCAGAAAAAATCAACATTAAAAGTTGTGCGATTTTATTGATAAGTACCTATTAGTCATAGACTCATTAGGTAAGTTTTTTCATCATTCAACGTTATTTTCATTAACTAAATTGCTATTAATTAATAGTGATGCACACAGCACAAGTAATCATTTATATTTTAAAGTGATTGTATACAAAAAAGTTTTTATATTCTAAATTATATAGTAACGGTTAAACAAGATATCAAAAAAATAGTTTGGTTTATGGTGAACACTATAAATTTTATAAATATTCAACGGAATGGCGCCGAAAACAGTTTTAATATGTTTCATCACCCACATAAGTTTTCAAATCATTATAATTTATTTTATTGATCAACTGATAAAATCCTTCTAAACGAATATAGCAGGTTTACTATGATATTATCACTCTTCCTGCTTTAAATGTGTATACTTTATAGGACAGGTCAAATTCTGCTGACATTTCCGAAAAATGTATGAATCACCCAATGACGGTCTAACTTGTTAGACAACCACAGATTATAAAAACTATATTAATTAAATACGTATTTAATGTCCGATAAGTTCTTCAAAAAGGTTCTATTTTGAAATTATTGTAGAATTTAATATATGAAAACAAAAAAAATTTGTTAATATATGACGTGTAACAGTTATGTTTGAATAAATAAATAAAATTGTAATCGAATAATTAATCAATTCGGCTTGTATTTTTTAAAACAACTCTCTTTTGTGAAAGGAAACGGGTTTTTTTATAGAGAAAAGGAAAGTTCTGTAATACGGGTCAAAATACGACACCAATATTCCTGTAGCTTCATCTGCCGTGAATTTATTATGAAGCTCAAAAATCAAAATACAGATGTTTATGGTGTATTTTAGAAATAAAAAATACAATATGATCTATGACCATTGCTTAATATCTTGTATATTAAAACACACACTACATTTTTGTTTTAACTTTAAGGCATAGAGAATTAATAAATAAATATTTGTGTTGCAGTTGTGGGATCATTATGACATTGTAATAGTAATGGTTCATATTTTTTCTTTTATTCATGTTCCTTATTGATTTAGGATAAATTTGTCAATACAAAAAAATATAAATACTAAATAAATTACTAGTAAATGTGAAAAATTTCGCGAAGCATAATAATTTACACCACAGATTACTTTTAATGTGTAAAAAAAATAGTTTTATTCTTTTTTTAGTAGAATTATTAATACGGACATCCGTCTAACTGGACAGGTTCACACATTAACAAATAAACAATGGATAAATTAATTAGATTTACAACCAAGGAGGCCCATAACAAACATATAAATAAACTATAATTATATATTTTTTAAGTTTAAGAAAAAATAAATTACATATTGTAAGTGATCTAATGTAAGCTAGATTTATCAAAGTTAAATAAACTCCATTACATAATGTTCGTTTTATTTTAATGTAGCTTCTGTTACGTCTTTATATAATCTTTTCAATTTATAGGATATTTATTATAACAATAAACTAATATTTCAATCATGCAACGTGTTTCCGAAGTCTTCAATGTTTTAGATAACATAGCGCATGCAATTAGAAAGCATTCATATAATATAAAAACAAAGCTAGCGCTTATGTACAAGTATTATAGGATCAAATTCGCATTTAACTTGGTTATTATATATTTTATTAAATAATATCGCAAATGCCGGAAAACATTTTTTTTAATTAGGTTCAGATATTTTGTTGTTGTTTCCGAGTTTCCTTTGGATATAATATTTTCCCAATGAAAAAATTTAAATCAAGGAAAAAAATGCCCTTTCCGTACTTTATATCCGCAAAGCTCAAAGCATTAGTATGTATTTCATGCAATCTTACGTTTTTACAATATATTTAGAACCAAAATGACAGTCTCTAGAGTACTGAAAGCTTACTTATTTCTGGATTTTTTCTTTACTGGATATACGTAATCTGTTTTAAGAGTATCGTTTTAAAATAAAAGGAACCATTGATCAACACACACACATGCAATATGTTTTAAAAGGTTTGTTTTCATAACTTGCCACGGGAACGATTGATGCTTTGAAACAATAAGTAATGAAACAGTATGTAATAAGTTTACATACATTCGTCTGTTGTGACATCAAATTAATACGGCTTATATTAAAAACGCTACGCGGTTTCACATTTGTGCGAAAACGCATTTCATACTGCTGTATGATTTTTATTTACATAGCATCACGCTGTTTCCTGATACATTTGAAACTACTTTTTTCAACATATTGATAGTTGTTATGTTAAAAAAAAGTTGTAAAGCAAAACCTGATTAGCGGGATCGATGTTTCCTTATTCGTTTCTTATTTGAGAGAAATGTTCAAGCAGATATTTAAAGTTATTTAAATGTGAAGCGTGTTTCCATCGCTTCCTTCTACATGTTTAATATTATTTAGCAGTATGAGATTCGATTTAAGTCCATGTCACGTTTAATTATTTTATTAATACGTCGCGTATCTCTAATAAATGTTATATTGTCTACAACAGTTCTGGCCCGGCATTAAGACATTTGTAAGGTCACAATTTCACCTCTTTTTCAAAAATATCACGTACCCAGGTGTCGATTTCTCTTTACAAACAAAGTCATAACAATTGTATCATAGAATGGGAATGTGAAACGTGTTGAACGACTTCTGTTTCAACTGTAAAGGGACCCTGAAGAAAATAACGACCGACTTACATTCATATTTCACGGGTGACGATGATCTTCTCAGCGGGATGAGATTACCATAAATATGGTCGATGTTCACAACTTTCTTTACTTATTTGACGTCCACAATAAAACGGAACCAGTTCTCTTTTGATAGCTCTGTAACACACGTCCTTTTGACGCGACGGACTGTCGGCAACTGACCGCGGCGTTAAAACTTTCTCAAACATTTGAACCAACTTTGCGACAATGGACTTGGAGGCCACTGTAAATAGGATAGGGTAATGACTCTAAATAACATAATATATCAAATAACAATTAGTATTTAGAGTAGATGTTGTATTTGCCAATTATTACGTACCTAAGCTTATCTTTGTTCCAATTTAAAAGTATAGGTATAACACCAGTACTACGGTATTTTATAGGCAATTATAATATACTAAAACTTTCTTACTTTGTAAAATGTATCATTTGATACTGACATTAACTAATTGGGTAACAAGGAATTTAAAATGCCCAGCTGTATAGTTTCTACTATACAGCCTAAACACAGTATGGCTAAGTTTCCTCAAATGTATTTTTAGGTCTGTCAAATGATTAATGAGGATCCTTGTATTCACGATTAATTGGAAAACGAAAGTTAAAGTTAAATGACAACAAAATTGAATCATATGTTAAATATGAAAATAATATGGTCCATGAGATGTTTCAATATAAAAGATATTACTTTTTACAAAAACTAAAATTTTATTTTGTTCATGCAAATTAGTTTACTTTATATTTCTAAATTAATTTAATAATTAATATTTGCTTTTAAAATATTGGAAATCCTTTGTAACTTTCTGTTTATGTAAGATTTCGTAAATGACCACTTCGCGAAATTTAAGGTGTGCTTTCTATTGAAACAAATTAACATTTAACATAAAATTTTATTGATTTTAAATTACGGCGGCCATTATGTTTTTGAAGCTGATGTAAAAAGTTTATGTAAACCTTACATGGGTTTAAGAAATTCATCGAATATCCGACTTGTTATTCAATTATGTTATAAATTTCATTTACTTTATGTAACTGTATTAAATTATGGATGAAATTAAAATATACTAATTTAATAAAAAAAGTAATTTTTGCAAGCTGCGATTTGGTGTTCTTACGACAGTTCTGTCACTTCACCAATATTTCTGTGATCTAGTTTTCCTTATAAATTAAAACGTTAAAATTGTATTGATTCTATTAACAAATTCTTACTATATTCATTCATGTCTAATATGTGAGCAAGATATATTTTCTGTTTTAACAAAAACTTTATTATGTTCAAGCTGAAGGGGTTTAGACTCGTCGTCCTTGAACAGGTCTAACATGTGTCAGATGATATCCCCTTTTAAAAGTCGTTGAGACTACATACGGTCATTTAAATGTCGGCGCAGATGGTTTTGTTCCCTGCAACAATTAATGAGTAAATAAAAGAAATTAGGCTTACAAATATTTCTTTTTTATAACTTGAGTTTGAATCACATTGGTCGTTAACACATTCCAAAGAATTGTAGGTAATTAGATGAATTTTAATGTGACCTTATTTCTGATTCTCTATTCCTTGTTTCTTTTTTGCTTTTGTCGTAACTATTGGATTTAATAGCTTTTCTGCCAGCTCCTATGAAGACGGTTGCCATGTTGGATAACTTTTATTGTAATCTTTATACTTACTTTATATTAAATGTTCGTAAACTTTCCACTAAATTGTAATAGTTTGAAATTTTCAGCACAGCGGGCCGAAAAACTAAAGTTCTATCAGTGAGTAATTTCGGTCTTTCTAATGTAAACTTTCTGTTCATTTTCAATATTTTATGCATTCATTCTTAACTGCCTCTAGATTGGGAACACGTCTGGTTTCCAATTCTCTTAATGTTTTATTCACCTTAACATACATTTACATTAAGGTGGAGGATAGTTCATTAAGTTTTGACATTGAACTCCATCTGAATGATACTTCTTCGATACTTTTGTATAAAAAATGCGTCATTTATTGCAATCTTACTTAGGTTTATCAAATTATTACAACTGATCTATAACTTTTAAGATAATACTCGTACACACTACTTTCTATTCTCGACAGTCCCATTCAACGTAAAGGTTTTGTTTGTTAGCTAGGGATAAATGGATTTAAAATAGCACAAGGACAAGCGTAGGTTAGAGCCTGCTACAGTGTACTGGGCAGTCACACACAAACTTGAAATGTACCTAGTTGTTAAATCTTATATCTTAATTGATGTATATAAAATGTTATGAATGAATTGAATCCTTCTGGTTATGAAAACAATTCCAGAAGATGATTCTTAGAATTCTTGTTAACACAATGTAGGCCTGCAAAACAATATTTTTTCAAGAAATACAACAGTCCTCATTGTTTAGAAAATACTGTATTATACCTGGTTTGTGTTAAATGTTTTCATTTAAGACAAAATTGCAGTGATTAAGTATTAGTTTCAACAGTACTGAATAATTCTCCAAGTTCGATCAAATTAAACAGTTAATGTAAATAATTACTTTTAAAATTAAAATATAAGATGTTTTTCTATTTTACAAACCCTTTTAATTTGAAGTGGATACGTGTTTGTTACATTATTAAACCTCATTAATATAAAACGTATCTGTTAGAGCGCATCGAAGCGGATATAGGAAGCAAGGCCTGCATGAATACCTGCAGAATTCCACCTTATTGATATATCCGAACATTGAACTAAATTTTAGCATCAAGTTTACAAGGTGGTGTTAGCACCATTACTGTTTATTAGCAGTGCAAGTACCTCGTAAGTTGAACCAAAGTATTGAACAAAAAATCATTAATATACATACATTATATCCTTTTTAGCAGCATTTGTAAAAATTAGGGAATTGAAAACCTTTATCGTAGAGTGAATAAAACCATCAGGGCATATGATCGTCAAATTTGGTAAGTAATTAGCAATTAACGAGTAACGGAGAGCAAAAATTTACTTCCCCATAAATATTTGAAAAATTTGGCATGTTGATAAATGAACAAAATTATTATAGCGGCCATGATATATCTGTTAATTGGTAGCACCAGCGTTTTTCTTGGAATGCGACAATCTTCAACAGTTAGTTTGCTTTTAACAAGAAACCATGGGATGCAAAGTCAAACTTAGAACTTATATTTAAGATTATTATTAGTATTTTTTTTTAAATTTAAGATCTATATTTTTCGATTAAAACTAGGCATTTTTATTTTTTTGTTATAATCTTCAACCACATTCTGGTATGTAAAATTTAAAAAAATATCTTATTTACGAGTATCTTCAATACTGTAAGGCACCATTTTATATACTGTACCTTCAACTTGCTCACATAACATGTACTAGTGAAAAACAAAACCTCTGTTTTAGCCAAATTACTATAACTTCTATGATATAATAAAGACTTATTGGCGTTACAATTTTTTCTTTATTATTAAAGAAAAAAACAGAAAGCAAACTTGTTTAAAAGGATCCATTTTACAAGCAAATCCGAGTGTGTTTTATTTAAAATATTAAATATGGTTATAAAGGAAACAAAATAAAACACTATTGTATTCCGGATTTATTTATAAGATACATTCACAGTAAGAACATACTATTGAAATATTGGCAATAAATAAGGCAATAAGTTATGTAGTAGACAATTATTATGAATCTGTATGTATGTAGATCTATCCCATAGTCATAATATAAAACGTGATGATGTATATGTTGAGGCCTGCAATTTGTTAAATAATTGAATATTCAAAACGTGCTGTGCTACAAAATAATCTAAGCACACGTGAATTTTAGCAAATAATCTCTTATATTTAATATTGAAGTTTATTAGATGAATCTCTTGCCTTTCTAGATTGCCTAAATCTAAACTAAAAAAAGCATTACTGTTAGAGCGTAAAAAATATATATCGACAATATTACATACAATTGCCCGCAACCAATGAAATAAAAGATTTTTTATAGTAATCGGCCATTTATATAGAATACGCAGATTGTAATACATAAGTATGTAACGGATACACAATACACATGGCTAAATCATAATGGCATACAAAAATTACAAATACATTGTAAGCACTTTATCATCAATTTTATACGAAGTAAGGACTTAGCAGAAACTAATTATATAAAGAAACATTGAGAAATGTATCATAGTGATTAAAATTACTTTCTTGTCTATGTGAATATTATATTGTAGACAGAGTTCTAATCAAATTGGTTACTGAAACTAATATAAGTATTAGTAAACATTTTATTATGATATTGATTAAGTTTCTATTTTATATGAATGTAAACTGCCAAGTCCTTTTCAGATGTTTTAACGTTTGGAGACGGTTTGGAAGTCGTCCGGATCACGGGCTGAAAAGAAATTAAAAATTAAACGAAATTATTATCATAATATATAAAAAAGGTATATATACATATATATATATATACAGCCACGGGCAAAAGTATTAGGCACCCTACAGTAAGACAAGTTTTAGGGTGTTTTAGCATAGCGAGTCTAAATAAAACTGCATTTATGATTACAATGGTTTATTTTAAGAAAATAATTAATATTTTGTAGGTCCACCTTTTGACTTAATAACCGCAGCCACTCTTTTTGGCATTAACTCTACCAGCCTGAAACATTCTTCTCTTGATATTTTTTTCCATTCCTGCTGTAACGCGGCCAATAGAGCTTGTTTATTGCTAATCGAGTGCCTGCGGATATTTTTCTTTAAAATGGACCAAATATGCTCAATCGGGTTGAGGTCTGGTGATTGTGGTGACCAGTCCAAAAGATCAATATGATTTTCAGCAAACCACTTCATGGTATGCGCGGACTTGTGGCAAGTGGCGTTGTCTTGCTGAAATTTCAGGCCATCGGTGTTTGTATCACCGAAAATTTGCGTTATCGACGTTGCTAGTGCTGTTTCCAGAACTTCAGTGTATTTAACACTATTCATTCGTCCCTCACACAATACCATTTCGCCCACTCCTTCGGCAGCCTTGCAGCCCCAGATCATTATTGAGCCTCCACCATGCTTAACAGTGGGAACCACACATTCTGGGTTGTATTCTTTGCCAACCCTTCGCCTAACATAAGTCACACCGGATGTTCCAAACACCTATGCCAAAGGAAAAAAAACACATTTATTTTCAAAGTTATTATTTTTCTTGCAGTACGTTATTTTAAAAACATTTATGTGTTTTAATATTGTATATAAAATAAATAACAATACCTCAAAGTTAGATTCGTCTGACCACAGTATGTTGGACCAATCTTCCACTGACCAATCTCTATGTTTGAGTGCCCACTCCAACCGATTTTTCTTATTGTGTTCTGACAGCTACGGCTTCTTCCTTGCTTTACATACTTTTAATCCAGCTTTAAGAAGTCTTCTTCTCACAGTATAAACACTCACTGAGCTGCCTTTTGCCTCAGATAATGCTGCAGCGAGCTCTGAAGCAGTTTTTTTCCTGTTTTGTAGAGACTGCCTAATCAACAATCGATCTTCCCGTTCAGTAGTAACTTTTCTTCTGCCTGTTCTTGGTCTATTTTCATGGGTGCCAGTCTCTTTGAAGCGATTTATAGCATATTGAACTGCACATCGCGAGCACTTCACTTCTCGGGCTATTTTAACCTGAGACATGCCTTGTTCATGTAAAATCTTAATTCTTAGACGCTGTTCAGCACTAAGTTCAGATTTTTTCGGCATGATTAACACGTTAAATGTTAGTCTTTAGAATTGTGATAGGAATAGTTGCGTAGAAGACGTGTATGTTCACTGCAAGCACTGATAACACACTATAACCCGAAACGCAAAAAAAGCAAATTCGAAGAAACACCGCTTAGGAGCACACCTGGATGTCATAAATATTTTCTTTTATCTTAATTTGGTTAAAAATTGCCGCTAATACAATAGCTAAACCGTAAAACACACACTTGACCGCAATATAATGAGATAGTGACTAACAATAGGGGTGCCTAATACTTTTGCACGCAGCTGTATATATATATATATGATATAGTTTATGACAAGTATAATTTGTTCGAATTCCTTGCTAATGTAATACAATTTTTTTCCTATATATTTCTTTGTTGACCGTATACTGATTATATACGTAATTTTTTTTTTGTACGAGTATCAAATAACACTAGAATCTTAAACCAGATACCAGTCGCGTCAGACTTGATAATGATGTACCTCTGAGGCCTACCATCGTATAAATATTAAATAATTATAGATGGGATTTAATTCAGAGGATGTTGAGAAAAAAATATATGAGAAAAGGTCAAAATTTAGCTGAATAAAACACACCCTGTATTATAATATGCTTGGTGAAGTCATGAACATGAGTCATTTAGTTTAGACATGACCTGACTCTTACGTACATATATATGTTTGTGTGTTATGTATTAGTTATATTTGCTCGGTATTTTTAAATAATAAATTGATGTCAAGTGTAATGCAGAGATACTTTATTATATTAGTTTCTGTTATTTGAGTCTTGCTACTTAGCACATTACATACATGACGAATTTAATATACCTAGTTCTATGGAATACAACAGTGTGTCTATTGTGTGTGTGTTTTTATATATTATATTATTATGTAATACTCACGTTTGTCCTCTCTGCGCGGGGGCACGCGACGTTCGCGATCATCGCGGCGATCACTGATGATTAAAAAAATCATTTAATATCAATTATGAAAACGAAATACATATATACATCACATATACTACAGAACAGCTATTATGTAACAAAATATATGGCACATTTCAAAAATACAACTAACTATTCACTAAACAAGAAAAAAATGAAAACATCAATAAAAAAATAATATATAATATACAAAAATTATATCTATCAATCTTCAATATAGAAATAGAATTTAATGAATAATAAAAATGAATAAAAAACACAATAAACATTTCTCATTATTTACTAATAATTTGACATCTACATACTTTATATCCGTTCCATGAGTGGGTTAAAATGTGAAAGAAAAAAATGACAATCACATATTTTTTCTATACACGTAGAATATATATTTAATTGTATTTCAATGTATAATGAAATGAATCTATCGTTGTCTATATTCAATACTTTCTTTCGATACACATAATGTTATATATAATATAGTTGTTCAACTAACCGATCGTCTCTACGAGGTGGATCACGTTCATCACGTCGTGGTGGTGGTCTATCACGATATCCATCACGATCACGCGGCGGATCACGATAGCGGTCATCACGACGATCTTCACGACGATCATCACGAGACGCCTCCTTGGTGCGCCAAGTTGACGAACGCTCCTATTTCATACAATATATTATGAGAGATTGAAATTTAATCACAGCACACAGTTACATAGTTTTGTTTGTTTGTAGAAGCTTCAATCACAGACTTGCTATGATAATGAGTCCGTTTTAGTTAAACTTCCAGACCCATCTGTCCGATACTTTAATATTCCTCCGAGGCCTACCACGTTGTGATTTTGTGTAAAATACAAGTGGGATTTAATTCGGAGGGTACAATAATTATTTGATATAAATAATAAAAAATATTTGTTTCAATTTTCCGATTAAATTGTTAGTTGTTCCCAGGGCAGTCTAGTGCTTGTGTCGGGACACCGTGTGTTTTATATAAACAAATATATTAATTAATGTTTATTGTATACGTACAGCGGAGGGCGCTGGGTCTGAAGGGCCACGACGCCAGCTGCCAGTCTCGGGGCCGCTTGAACGACCAGTGTAGCGAGATCTGTGACACAAAGTTGATACATTTGTGAAAAACAAATTAACAATATCTGCATTGCATTTCCTTATTTATTATTTTATCGTCCTATATTTGGGTGACTGAGTCATACAATAACTAACCTTTCTCTATCCCTATCCCGGTCAGTATCCCGGTTGGCTGAACGCCATCCAGAGTCATCTCTCGGCCGATCATCCCTGTTCTTATCGTCCCTGTAGCTACGTTCTTCTCTTGGCCTGTCATCTTTGAAGCTAACATCGCGTGGTCTATCCTCGCGTCTGAGATAATATAGTAATACATAATATTATTAAGGAAAAATATTATATACATATATTAATATTTAACTAAATATGTTAACTAAACTCACCTCTCTTCGTCTCTACGTCCTGGAGAGCGTGGTCGATCATCACCAACAGGCTCGCGAAGACGACCTGAGAAATAATATTATAATAATGAGTTCTTCTGCCATCTTGTAGTGTTTTTATATTCAAGATTTAAATAGGTACAAATAAATATAATAAATTACGGACTTTTTCAAAAGTGTTTACCTAGATTGCAGATATATTGATGTTTAAGATAAATTTTTGATATAAGGGAACATTTACATTCCTTTCCAATACGAAAAAAAAAAGCAATACAACCCATTATAATATTTATAATATGTATAATTGTATCAATGTGTATATAATAATAGTACTCACTGGGCCGCCAGGGCTCTTTCTTCTCTGGTTCCTTGGCCGGTGGTCCAGGTCTCCTCCAGCTTGACAATGCAGCCGCTTTTTGTTCCTCCAGCTTGCGAGTCACTTCAGCTTCCATAGCGCGAGCCTTTGCTTCAGCCCTAGCCAACATTTCTTGGTGCTCCCTAAAATTAAACAATAATATTACTAAACACAATTATTACACTACGGAAATGTTAACTTGGCTATAGTGACCCATATTAGATCATATAAAATATTACCAGCGTCCTACATGTACATATGAAATAAATGGTACTAATTAAGTAAGAAATTTGATATAACAAGACAGAATGTCTATTCGATCAATAACCAGTATAGAGTCAAATAAACTGAATTTCTTATGTTAATGGTTATTAAATGGTGTTATACTTGAGTGACTTCTCCTTTTTCTCCTTGAGGGCGGCTAATTCCTCCGCCTGTTTCCTTTCCTTCTCCCTCCTCTCTTGTTCCTCTTGTGCCTTGCGAGCCTCCTCCGCAGCACGCTCCTCCATGCGACGCTTCTCGGTCAACCACTATGAATAAATATACATATAATTAAAAATATGGTTATTTTCAAAACTATTAAATAATCTTGTCTTTTCTGTTCTTACACTTGTGTAGCCTTAGACTCTGGTTGGTATTTTAAAAAGATCTTAATTCATATTGCCAGCGAGTGTTGAATTTAATACAACAAAAATGTTGTTTATATAATCAAAAACAACAACAGTCTTTAATATGTTTGATATAAATGTAATCTATACTAATATTATAAAGCTGAAGAGTTTGTTTGTTTGTTTGTTTGTTTGAAAGCGCTAATCTCCGAAACTACTGGTTCGATTTGAATAATTCTTTTTGTGTTGAATAGTCCGATTATCGAGGAAGGCTGTGGGCTATATAACATCACACTACGACCAATAGGAGTAAAGATATAGTGGTAAATGTGTAAAAAACGGGAGAAATTATTACATCTTTGAAGCCTTCCGTTGCGTGCGCCGTGAAAACGGTTCAAGATACACAGAAAATATGTATTAAAGAATAATAGCTCTTTTAATGATCTAAAAAACAGTCCGCGCCAGTATATGTCTATCTTTTAAGATTAACTCATAAAAACCGTTTTTATGGTACCTAATTTGGTCGAAATAATTTGTTTAAGTTGTATCAACATAATGATATTAATCTTTATTCAAATAAACCAATAAATATGTTGTTGGTTAAGAGTACTTCATTGTGAATAAAAAAAACATAGGTTTTATCCTGAAAATTCTACGGGAACTCGACCATTCCGAAAACCCCGCAAGAACGGGAACTATGTGGGAAGAACCAAAAATCTGGCGGAAGTCACTATTCCACGCGGACGGAGTCGCGGCAAAAGCTAGTTATGACTATTCAGAAAGAAAACAAATCCCAGGGTCACTTATATAAAATGTCTATCTTTTTTAAAACTTTTCTTTGGTTTTTATTTAAAAGGATTTTAATAATATATAACAAATGTCTAAACGCCTTATAGGCTACAGTTCACCACAAATATATGTATTATTACATTCTTCTTATAAAAGGTATATTAATAATATAATGTAACTAATTTTTACTATTTATGCAGAAAATCTTTTCTAAAAAGCATTCCACATTTCCCTTATTATTTAATTTTTCTTTAATGATTCTATTCAACGTTCGTAACCTGTATTGTTTTGTATAACAATAGGTATTTGAAAGTTGATTCAAAATAAATGTCCCACTTTCACAAGCCTAAAACAAACCTGATTTAATTTTATTCTTAATTCATTATAAAATTATATTTTTTTATTGTGTATGTGTATTCTTTAAAGTTCTTCATAAATATGTAATATATATTTATTATATTGAAGCATGTATATGTTTGAAAGATATAATGAATTTGGTCTGAACATATTGATAAGAATATTGAGGATAGTATTTGTTTAATATATTCAATGAGTATGAATATACATTTTATACAAGGATGTAATGACTCATTTCATTCTACACCTTTTTAAATATAAAGTATACTATAACCTATTCTATTCAAACAAAGTTTTTTTAGACTTCAGTTATGTGAATCCTTTTCCATATTCGATCAACAATCGGTCTGATTAGAGGATTTATCATATGTAACATTTTAAATGCATAAGAGTTTTTAGCAATAATATAATAATATGTAAAGTTAGCGTTATTAGTATTCATTTCTATAATATAATAACAGGCAACAGCTAACCAAACATCAAAGTAATTCCCTACCTCTGTCCGTCTCTTCTCGATCCTCTGCTGTCTCCTATGAGCGAGTCGAGCCTCCCTCTCCCTAGTAATAGTTTCGGTGAACTCTGCCAGCCGGCTGTGGTACAGAGCTCCACGCTCGCTGTTCAAACGAGCGGTGAACTGCTCGCGATGTACCGACATACGGGACAGACGTGTTGCTGTTGCTACATCACGGCCACGCGCCTCTGTCAAGATATTAAGTTTATACATCATATTGAATTTTGTAGTGTGTATGTATATGCTCATTTTTATACAATCAGCCAACTAATAATAAGTATCATCAAGTCTTAAACTAAAGACTTATTATAGTGTCAAATTAGTCTATACTAATTCCTTTCAAATACTATAGAATCAATACAATACTAGAATTACACTATAGAATATAAAACTTTTATAATATAGAATGTCTATATAATATTATCACAGAAATAAATTTACGTTTTCAGATGATGAATATCAAGTTTATTTATACATAATCAACATACCAATGAGTTGAGCGATGCGTTCCTTCTCCTGCTGTTCCCAGAATGCTTTATCCTGTACTTGCTTCTCTTCCAAACTCTTCTGTAGGAGTGGAATCTCCTCGAGACGCTTAGCCCGCTCGAAGTAATCAACCTATAATTTTTTAATTTTAACATAAACAGCTATAATGCCCCCAATTTACTCGGTATTTCTGAAACTCGTTGTAGTACAATAGGTTCATGAAAGCTATCCATGTGTATATTTACACTATAAAGTGGATATTTTGACTTCGAAGTTATGTATTTATTATGACGAATTAGAATGTTTGTCAATGTAGATAGTACCGTGATTTGGTTAAAACATTTGATTCTCTGAGTTTATTTTTCATTTAGTTATTAAGGGTTGTATCTGTAAGAAATTTCTGAAATCGCACCAACTTATCGTATTCAACTTGAATCCTGTGAGATGTTTGTGGGTTAAAGACGCCTATGTCATAAGGACATAAATGCCTTTGCGGTTCTTGAAGAATCTTAGAGTCAAAAATCTTTGAAGTTATGTGATGTTACTGACAAATATTAATCTATAATGGGCTACTTAAGCTAAATATTGTTATAGAAACGCTTAAAATATCCAAGGCTAATTCCGTCCAGTGAATCTTTTAAAGGTAAGTTTGGTTAGGCGAGCCTCATTTGCTCGATAGCTAAGTTATATCCTTTCATATGTATTCAGATACATATACATATTACAATAACTAATAATTATTTTACGTTATGAGGCAGACAATATGTATAACAAACCTTCTTCTCTTGAGACTTAAGACGAGCTGCAAGCTCCCGACGTTCCTTCATCAGTTCTTCGGCCTCGCGTTGAGCAATGGCTTCGGCGTCCATTTTCTTCAAATCCTACAAAATGATTTAAGTGCTTAATCTAACTATTTGTAGATTGCTTTAGTGTAGGCCTTATAGTGTATTATAGTTTGACAGTTTTTATTATATAAATAAAATCTTAAGTAGATAAATAAGATATATAATAAGTTACCTCCTCATCCAACTTTTGCAGCACTTTCTTTCCGTGCATGGTCTGTGAGATGTGAGCGATTCTCTCCCTCAGATTCCTCTCCTTCATTGCTGCTAATTCAGAGGCGTGTCTTCTCTTCTCTCTTTCTTCTCTTTCCTGTTCTTGCCGGCGAGCCTCCGCTGCCGCTGCTGCACGCAACTGTTCCTCTTGACGGCTGTTCATGATACATTGCAATTACATCATCTCTCTCAAGAAAAAAGTATTAAAAAGGAAATATCTATTAATGGTTGATATTTTTTTGTATGATTAAACATTCAGACACCAGAATAATATTAAGTTCAATATCAATTGTCCATATTGAATTAGACCTTTCGTCTTAATCAAATAAATATAAACAAAAACATTATGCCTATTAACATTGTATCATTAAACTGTAATTACATGTAAGTTTCAAATTCATGGCAAATCATTATAATAGTCTAATAATTGTTATATCAGGCTTTTATGAATTACTATCGAATTGAAATAATAATTATACAATATCATACCGCAATTCCTCTTCCTCCCTGACAGTGTTGAGTCTCTCAATGTATTCCTTCCTCTCCTCTATGATCTTATGTCTTTGTAGAACGCGATGATGTTCAGCGTGCTTGTTCTCGTGATAATGCTGTACCATGGCTGCCCTAGCACGTTCACGATCAGCACGACGACGAGCTGGGAACAATGTTTGAGCAGCACGAGAAACTACTTCTGCAGCACGGACTAGCTGTTCGCGAACCTGGAGGAATAACACGTTTATTTATAATATTACCGTCTCTAACAATTACAAGAAACAATGATCAAACATATAACTTGGTGGGAAACTCTTCTTAAGAAGTAGTAGAGCAGCTTTGTTTCGAAATTCATTTCAAGTGAATAAATAGAAAACATTTACAATACAAACTTCTTAACTGCATAATTGCGTTATAACCCATTTATATAAACATATATGTTTATATAAGTGTTTATAATGTATAGACATAAGTTAACACAGAACACACTGAATGCATGTCCTGTCGCGTCAAGTCCACTGGATGTATAATATTCCTCCAAGGCCTACCATATCTTACTATTGAAAAGTTAGACATGGGATTTATATTGGAGGTGTTTATAGAATTGTTTTGTATAACTAAATACATTAATCAACAATAAGTATTTCATAATAGATATCTCTTACATAATGAAATGTTAAGGAACGAAAGATAATGGTTTACTGACTGTTAATTGAATAGTGATCTACAAGGACCGATTACTAATCGGCGATTAGTGTGTATGTAATAACTGTCATTCATTCAAAAAATACTAAAAGAGTTTTTGGAAAACCACTTATGTGTTTCATATATGTTCATGATATTAATATCACGTGATTGTAACTGTACTATAATCTTAATCTTTTCTTTATGTGTGGTTAATATACTATTTTCAATTGGTCAACTCAAACAGATGGTCCTAATGACTATACTATGTACATATGTATATTTATTACCTGTTCAGCGGGCGTGGCTTGGAGTATGGCCCCACCACACGCCTCGTCAGCTGTAGAACACCACTCGCCGCCACCAGCTTCAACGCCGAAGTGGACACATCTATATAACAAACTCTAGTTGAGTCGCTTATGCATTTGTAACGATATAACAAACTAAATAAGGCGAAGTATATGATTTATTTGGACATATATATTCCTAGATACATACTTGTTAGCATGATCCACCCGAATCTGCATATCATTGTGGCGAACACAGTCGACAAGCAGACGTTCGATATGGAACAAGTCGTCGGTGGCAGCCAGCTCCAAAAGTCTAGAGAATTGAATGCAGGCGTAGCACTGAGCTACTTGACGAATGAGACGTACCAGCGCCACATCCGTTATAGCCACCGAGTATTGTGCCAGCGGGGAATCTATTGAAATTGAAATAAATTTATTTAAACAACAACCCCTTTATACTGTTGTAAATGTGGAAGAACGGTTGAATGTTTGCTATTAATTGGATATGAAACTAATAAAGGATTTTTATTAAACTTGTTTAATACATTACTGTTTAGACTAATTTAACTGTAATTTTTTAATTAATTTATATAGGATATGTCCTGCGACAACATTCTGATTAATATGTAATGGAAGCTAAAAATATTCTAGGCGTTTACAAATAAGTGAAATAACCCATATTTAATATAACACCAATTTGAAGATATGAAGTTATCTGTTATTTTACTACTTAAATAGTTGGTACCAAATAAAAACGGACCTTTTATCATGTCCATCAATACTATAATCTATGTTGTATTACATATATATGGTGTATACTAACTGGGATCCTCTTGCAGTGTTTTGACGACGCTCTGTACGTTCTGACAGATGGACAGCGGGTCGAACTCCACCTCGAGCCACGAGTACAGCTGCTGTAGCTGTGGCGACGCCAGCGACACCACGTTCATACGAACCACATCTGGATATCAGATAACATAATATTTATAACCAAATAAGTAAAACCTCCCAATGTACGTACATATGTGCTTTTAGCATATTCTCAAAAACCTCCGTAAATTGTTATTTTAATCTGTTTTCTTAATCATATAAATATGTAAATCCTTTATGAAACTTTCGATCACACAAATGCAGAATCGTGATTCTGTAAAGCCTTAGTATACTTGGGATGGAAGAATGAATCTAGGAGTATGGCGTTTTATATAATGTATGTAGGTATGTTCATGATTTTATGTGTTTCACATGTATGTTAATGGTGTAATTTTTTAATTATGTGTATAAAAAAAGGAATAAAATTTCGCTAGGTACTTTATCTATAACGAAAATATATAAATTATCGAAGAATACACTAAATGCTTTGCATTTCGCTGTGCTTTGTATGATTAAATAAATTAGTTACGACAAAGTACATTTGCAGCTCAATAATCGCTATTTACTATAACTATTAATTACAAACATAAATTAATTAGTGAAATTGTTTTAATCTATATCCCGATTTTGTCATATATATATTTTCATATCCCTACTAATATCATAAATGCGAAAGTAACTCTGTCTGTTACGCTTTCACGTCTAAACCACTAAACTGATTTTAATGAAATTTGGTACAGAGATAGAGTTGACCTTGAGAAAGAATATAGGATAGTTTTTATCCCACTTTTGAAAATTTTCGCTTGGAAACGCGATATAACCGAATTCCACGCGGGTGAAACTGCGGGCGGAAAGCTAGGAAATTATACTCAGTTAATATCTTTTTATTGTAATTCGCAATCTGCTTTACTTACTAGGTACACAAAAAAAACATACAAAGTATTGCACATCGCTCAGCTCAGCTCAGCTTTGTTAATAAAGGAGACACATTTAACGTAGTACATTCTCTAAATTATGAAACTCTTAATAAATAAAATAACTTTGTGTACAAAATTACACACACTAGATTGATTGCGTTAAAAACTATAGTAGTTATGTACTTGATTTATGTGAGTTTATGAATAAATAAAATTAATTGGTACCATTTCGCTATCTACTATGTGCGTAAATTACTAAAGTTGCTGAACAATAATAGTACAATTAACAAACAAGATACATTTAGAATCGTCATTTACTTTGAGTAAAAAATACAGACAAGTCGAAAAATAGCCTATACATTTTATATAATTTTAATATATATTTTCGTTCGCTAGCTTATATCAAAACATATAACTTAAAATACACAAATATTAATTATTTTCCCTTTGCCATCGACTCTGTGAATACATGATTTACATAACTTAGAATAAAGAACACTTAATAAATTGCTTCTTGCTATTACTTTAAATCACAGAACGTAGTATTGTGATCTATGCAAGTCTAAATGAATTGCTTTGCGTGAAACGTACGATTAATAAAGTCGCTAATTGCTTAGCATAATCATGAAGTTTTGATACATAACGCATAACGCTCCATAGCTGCTTAAAAATATTCTTAATTTAATTAAAATTTTCTTAATTTTATTGAACTTAATTATATTGAAGTTTAATTTTGGCTGGTAATTAGCCTAGGTCGAAAAACAAACAAACAAAACTTTTGCATAGAATTAAGTGAGTTAACAAAATCAAGGCATCCCTAATAAAAGTTATTTGCAAAAGTTATTAAATTTAACTAATTTAAAGATTCATTTACGCTCAAACTATAATTTCAGCGTAATATCCCACTCATATGATAAAGTTTAAAGTTTGTAAATGAATGGATGTTTCTTGCTCTTCCTCTCGATAACTGCTTGATAGATAGATTTTGATGAAAATTTACCGTAATTGCGAATTGCGTGTTTTCGCTGTTTTCAGACAACATTTTTCTTGTGTATAACATTATGCAACACAGAAAATATAGTTTTCGCTGCCGGTTAGTTAACATAGCTATTGTTAGCATTTATACATTTCTCTTTGAATATAATCCGAAGTCGCGAGCAGTTACTAGTGCATAATTAAAACGCATACACGAAATTAATAAATACATCGCAACCCGCTGTTCGATATTTAAACTTTTAGGAACATAAAAAGTTATACTATGAAGAAAAAATCTCAATAAAAATTCCAATTATCTCTAAGCATAAAAAATTACATACCATTCTCAGTTACTGATATCTAATCTAACTGATAAGACTTTAATGTAGTCCAACTATAAATGCCTTAAAATATATGCTATGTGTTACAAAAGTACCATTGAATATAATTCTATAAATATGAACTTGGACATAAAACCAATAAAAAAATCTGACTTTAAACTTTTAAACTTTTTAAACTTGAATGAATTATTCTTTACCTTGCCCAATTTTAATATTCGTTGTTTAAAAAAATATCTTTAAAAGACGATTACACAATCATCAAAGTGGCGATAAAATTCAAATATTTATATTAACAATTGAAGTATTAAATACAAAATCGCTATGAGCAAAAACAAATGATAAAAGAATATCAAAGTAATCCTTTGAGTAATGAATAGATGTCATGTGATGGATGAATACTGTGGTGTTTGTTCATGGAAGCTTTATTGACCAGTGAGTGTCATCAAAACAAAAGCTAACAAGCAATCGTTTTACCAAAGATTATTAGCAATCGGTTCTTGCTATCCTGTATGTGTTAAGTTCAACGCCTTATACAAGAGGATAACATTAATAAAAAAATAATATTTACCTTTCAATAAGCTAGCTCTGGTCGGAGGTTGAGCGAGTCCAAGCAAAACCGCCAATCTCTGTGCCTTCTCAACGGGACTCTTGTCAGTCTCAACAAAACGATCAAACTCGGGATGGAGAGATGGTAAGGGGACTGATAGCACAGCTACCAATACTCGACATGCCATCCTTGAAACATATATTGAAAATATATTAAACATACAGATTCTGACTTTGTACATGTACATGTATTGTAGATATCAATTTAGTTTAAAAAAATCTATCTCCTGTTTGTCTTTATAAAAACTAAAAGTGTCAATTGTATCCACATATTTTTTTAAAATATATGTATTTGTAATTTTTTCGGCAGTTATGGATTTTTTATTAAGTATGTATATGACATTTCTATGGACTTATAGAGCTTTTAAAAATTTTGTGAAGGCATTATTTAACACAAGCACAACTTGTATTATTCTGCTTGTCGCGTCTAGCCATACATATAATGTACCTCTGAGGCCTACCACTTACAACTATTTATGAGATGGAAGTGGGATTTATTTCAGAGGTAAAAGATTTTTCATCACCAGAATTCATTCATAATATAAGGAATTTATGTAAATTAGGTATATGTTAGTAGTAATTTTTATACTTATACATATTTACCATGTTAATCAAAGTATTTTCTAATATGCAGAAAGATTAAACTCACTTTTGCAATTCTTCCTGAGTGATATTTTTCTTCATCTCTCTAGACAGTTGGAAAAGCTTTAACAGAGCAGCTGCATGGAACAAGCAATGCCCTGCCTTCCAAAAGACGAGAGCCAGCTTGCCATAATAATTAGCCATGGTCTTGGCGACTGGAGTCTTCTTGGACATGTTCATGAGATTATGGATGTCTTCTATTGCTTTGTAGGCTTCCTAAATCATAAAATAAATCCATTTTTAATATATATTTATGTTCATTACGTATTAGTATTTTGATTATTAATTATATTATGTAATGGTGTGCATAATTATTTTTAACAAAAGCAATTGTAATTATTATTATATGAGTCATGTTGCATGATATAAAAAAATAAAGTAAAAAATGTGATGTAAATTATTTCAAAGAGTTTTAAGAATTATTATAATGCTTGTCATAGAGATAAATTAATGAACATACAAGTTTCAAATGAACGACTTTTTTTACTGCTATGATATCTAAGCTCAACTTAAAATTGTATCAATAGAAACAAAATCAACATTTTATGTTTACAATGTATCTAAAATCTAAATTACCAAATGATGACCAAACAAAATGTTTTAAGCTCAAACTCAACAAAAGGTAAACAACTATCTAAATATTTCTTTCTATTACAAAAACCTTAAAAGCACCATTTCTCCAAATGAACAATTTACATATCTCAAAGATCATTAGAATTGAAATTCAACCTCATTATGAAATGTAAGAAAATTTAATTAAAGATATATTTTAACTGTGATTCAGACAAAACACTATGATCAAGTGTTTCTAAATGATTTAAAGTTATAATTTGATATCATCCTTTCAGGACAGCTTTATTTCAATTCTACATAGTATTCTGTCAGAAATACTATATATTCTCACAATATGATAAGAATACTATGTCATATTTGACCATATATTGTAGTACTACTACTTATTGTATTTCGCTACTTACTTGCCACAACTCCATCTGAATGGCACTGTCCAGCTGGAACAATCTGGTTTCCAAGTTTAGCTGCTGTGTTTCAGGCTTGCTGATACTAACATTGCCTGGCTGAGACTGTAAATTGCATAAATGTTAATGTTACTTCCCATAATATATGTATAGAATACTTATTATATCAGAAGTAGTATGGAAAGATCCTACCACGGATTTGCAAATATCATCGAGATGTTTTCTGAGTTTATCACATAGTTTTCTAAACTCAGTCTTCCTTGAATACTTCAAGCAGAACTGGAATGCCATGCGAGCTATGTCATGGTACAGGGTCTCTACATGAGCATTGGTACGCAGGAGCTCAAGACATTGGCAGTAGGACTCCCAAAGAAATTTGACCTGTAAAATTATGGGCACATTAGTTAAGTACATTATGACAAAATTAAATAATACTAATGTTTTTTATGGTTTTACACTACTACATGTAGAATAGTTTATTACAATTCTTATAATAAGGTTTTGGTGTTAATTCATGATTTTGTAACTACTCTTTTTGAATATTTATAAGTTTTCAAGATATAACATACCCATGGTGTTAATATTGTTCTATCAGAGCGGTCCTGGGCATCTTCCCCTGATACAGCACTTAGCAAAATACTCTCAGGTGTTGCAAGATTATCAAGATCATCAGTATCTATGACTGCCTGGGTGGACTGTTCACGAGCAGATTCCGTACGCTCTTCAGCCATTCGGAGGTATCCCCTTCAAAATATATATATTTTTAAATATAGAATAAACTATTCAATTATTTTTATTTTTAAATAGAAGATTATATTACCTGATAACTTGTTCTAATGAACCAACATTTACTGATTGAAACATGTTTCTGTATTGAAACAGACCTTCTTTGGCGATATGAGACTTGCGTAAATCGACGCATAGTTCCAGATATTTGAACATGATAGGTTCTAAGACAGATTCGGACCAGTTGTAAGCCCATTTTTTGTTTCGAAACACTTCCTGCAAGGTATCGAGCGCCCGTGCAGGCTTCTCCAAGTCCATAAACTCTGCAATGCAAATATTTTTGTAATTTGGTATACTATGTTACTTTCTTAAGCACATTTCTAAGACATTAAATATAATAATTGTCTTCTTTTATGTTTCAAAGCGGTATCGAAAAAATTTTTGGTTAAGAAAGGTCACATCAAATCGTGCAACGTGGTATGGTGTGGCGTAATAGATATATCCTTACCATTGGCTCTCTTAAGAGCATTTTCCGGTCTCTGACCGTACCTCGCCATATTTTATTGTAGTGTATTCATATAATATTCATCAACACAAATGTTAAACCACGTAGGCAGAAGAAAATTATAAAATATTCTTCAAACCTCCGGCTTGTCAAGCGACAGCAAATAAAATGGCTGCCACCGATGCCATTTTTTTCCCAACTCCCCGCTAGAGTCAAACATTTACATTTTTCTGCCACAACGTGTTTCGTCTAAATTAAATAGGAAAACTATTGAATAATAAATCTTCTCAGTAAAAATTTAGATCAATATGAAATTACTTATATTTATAGAATATTAAAATTTGTAAACATTTTCAAATTTATTTTAAATGTTACTTATTTGTCAATGATATCCTCTATTTATTTCTCTGTGGCAAAAGTATGTATTTGTCAAAATGACATGGTGTAGTTGATTCGGCAAAAATTTTTTAAAATGCAATTAGTTGCAAAAGTCTATCTTTTCAGAAGTCCTTATACGATATGCTTCATTTCCGAAGATAGCGTTACATTGTCCAACGAAGGAAAGTATAAATCTATAGGGGTAAATGTTATCAAAAAGAAAGTAATTAGTGGCGATGAATTGAGTAAAAATGTGAATGTTCGAAGTTCAAATAGAAAAATCCTTAAATTAAGTACAACAGCTCTATTTCTACAACCTTTTTTAAGAGAGTGTTTGAATTCAAATATATATAGAACAAATGTGTTGTTGCATTTGAATAAATTAAGTGAAGAAACAAATAGTAGAACTGTATTTTTGAAACTAATTTTAGAACCACCGGACAGAGAAGTCATTGATTATGTATGGTAAGAATATCAATAATTCAGCGATACTTTTATATCTGAAATTATTTATAATTTTTGAATTTTTTTTACATTACATACATAGGAATGACAAGATGCTACATTTAATATGGATGCGGGTAGAAATAGAAAATGCCTTTTCTTGGCTTTCTACATTGGGAGGAGCTTATTCAGCACTGGGGGACTATTTCGAGCATTGTGTATGTATTAATTTAACTTCTACACTACTGTGGCTTCAGTAAACATATTGTCATTGACTTTTGACATAATTATGTTGTAGGCACATTACATATAAGTAGTTCTACATGCAACAATGGAAGGAAAAGTTTGTCTATATCATAATTAAAGTTGCAATATTCCTAAAAGCCTTTAAAATAAGCAACAATATATATCCAATATAATCTAACCTATATAACAATATAGTCACATTATGAAAAATTAAATAATATATTTAATTCTCAGGCTGAAGAAGCAGGGAGAATATCAATCAGACAATATAAGTTATCCAAAATGTTGGGTGATGAGGGCCTCGCTGCTAGGAGCAGGTTGTATTCAGCTTTGGCTTATGCTCAGAAAGGTCAACTTAAATTATCGAGGCATATCATCAGAAATGTTGCAGCATTTGCAAGAGATATACATGATAATCGTCTAAATCGAATGTGTCAGGGTGTATGGGCTAAGATAAAGTACTTAAAGCAATTGAAATGTTCAGCTTATAGTGAGAAATAGTTTAATTCCATTTATAATGTTTTGTTTATCATGTTAATATTATGTTTTTGTGGTAATGCAAGGATGTGTTATAGATTGTTGTTGAAGTATAGATAACTTTAAAGCATGTGCCTGTAAAAATGATATATTGTTATTGTGATTTGAAGTATAAGGTGATATCTTCATATCTCATGAAAATAATATTTTGGCAAATTTTTTCTAATAGTTAACAGATTATTAGTATAACTTCTATATGACCTATGAATGTTGAATGTGTAAAATCTGAACAACTTGCATTTTTACATTTTCATATATATATTATACTAAAAGTGAATTGCAATAAAATGTTGAATTACTTATGCTTTTATTTTATTTTCATAGCATTCATGTTGATTTTTATTCAGTTATCAAGTTAACAAATTGCCGAAATTAAATATACCTAAAGTCGAAGGTAGTTTTAACTTGTTCTTTAAATGCAAATTCTTTTTTTTTATTGTCTTACTACGCGTGAATGTTTTTTGATTTTTATAGACGTAACGAAAACTGATGAGAATAATCTTTTTCAATTAAAATTACTTGCTAGTTTCCATAGTTGTAAATAAATAAAACAGTATTATATATTAGGTTTCCTTGGTAAACTCTTTAATCTGATACATGTGTAACGGCAGCGGCCATCTTGACGTAAACATTTGTTAATGAGTTTCACACGGAATATATTCTTCGTCATTATAATGTGTTAGCGTCATTATGTGACCTTAATTTGTTTAAAATCATCGAATATATACATAAATATACATTAACTAGTATTTATGTCGAGTAATACTAAGAAACGCATTAAATGCTAAATAATTAATTAAAGTCATTAAGTGGAATGACCATACCTACGTCACAAAAATGTAGAGATCGCATGTCTACAATTTCGATTAAGGAGTATTTTTATTAATGGACAAAAAAAAATACTCACTTTATTGTGAACAGTTTAAAACATGTTAGAATTTATTTTATACTTAAAATTTTTGCAGCACATTTTGAAATTTATTATTATAATATAAAACTAAAATCATAATGTATTCAGAGATATAGAATTATCAATAATTAATTTATACGAAACATCTAAAAAAGGAAAAATGTAAATAGAGAAATCAGTTAAAAGAAAAAAGTAAATAAATTTTAAAACACTTTATTAATAAACAAATAGCACCTTTTGGTAACTCGTTTCAAAAATTACGAAAAAATATCAATAAAATATTACTAAAATTAGTTGAGATTAATTTAGCCTTTAATTGTTAAAATAAGTTCAATCGCCAAAACAAAGATGCGTATTAAAAATCTTATACATATAATTGGATACACGGTATAAAGTCCACAAGTCCAATGTATAAGTCACTGGAAGTGTTTATCATACAATTCAAGAGTAACACTAAAGACTATATGTCAATATTACATTGTTATATAAATGTATATAGTCTATGTTTCTTTGGAGCAGAGTGGGCAAGCTAGGGTTCCCATTGGATCCCAGGCTGGCAACATTTTCGGCTGCTGCTTGAACACATCAAGTACATCGGATGGCACAAACTGTTTGTCTACCACCACCTGAAATTTATAAAATTATTTGTTAATATATAATGAAAATGAACGTTTATGGTATAAAAAAAGAAATTGCAATAATGACACCTATTGAGGAAGAATCTGTCAATATTTAAGTTCATGTGTTCTGATTGGTTCCTAATTTAAAACACCAACAAGGAAAATCATACATATTAGTAATATTAAAGTTAACAACAAAAATACAGCTGTAAAATAATATGTAACATGGACTATTTATGATAATTTGTATTGAAGGTGACTAGAACTCACATAAAACATAATATAGGTAAGGAAGAAAAAATATTCTTAAAATTACATGAATTTTAGTGAAACTGAGAATTATGTTCATTTGCTTTCCTTCAAAAAAAAAAGATATACATATATGTTTTTACATTGACTTAATAAATAATATTATGAATTTAAATTATAAGATATGGGATTTTGTCCATCTAAGTATGGATAAAGTCATTTGTAACAAACTATTTGATATTTTGGTATTTACCTCAAAAACAAATTCTTCAAACCACGACTTTGTCAGCAGTAGATATCCCTTGTCGTATTCTTTGTCACCATAGGAATTTTCCACTCGGAATTTCTGAATGTTGCCCTGTTCCTGATACATAAAAGAAATATTATTGGCTTAATTTAAAATGTATAGTGACAATGTAAAATAGCAGGTGCTAGGTATATAAATATATGAAAACTACTAATTAGTCAAAATTGTATTAGTTTGATGAATAATAGAGCCTATAGATAAATTGATATTTAGAATACAAAAGACAAATAATATGTAATGGAAAAACATACATATTATCCTCAATATGAGAGTTCTCACAAATGAAGTGAACATTGATAGTAAAATAAATTTTAGTGAATTATTTTTTTATAAATAGAATTTTCTAAACAAATTGAAACAATAGGTTGCAATGATAATTTACTTTTGTACAATACAAGAAGACTAAGGTTGATTGATAGGAACATACATACGGCTGGATGACTTTAAATTGAATTAGAGATTGCACAAATAAATATAATTTATAACAAATAGATATACAGGTTGACTGATGAATTACTATCGATACTTGAGGACGTGATATTTGACGATCATATATGACAAAATAAAAATTAATATAACATAAATATTAATAAACTTCTAAGTAAAGTTAACCAAAAGTTATGTAATTAATTACGCATCGTGTGAACACCCTACAGATTAGGTAAACACACACACACGCACACACGGTGTGCTGATACAAACACCACGCCGCCGCACGCGTCCACACTTGGAACACCTGGAACGTGTCCACACTTTATTTATTTATACGAAAATTTGGTCAAAAATTGAGTACCTATTTTTTTTACATAATTCGAATGAGAATCATGTACCGAGTATTCTCCTTCAATATTGATAGTAATTCACCAGTCAACCTGTAGAAAAAATCGATCAAAGTGGACAAAAAATATCACAAATGGACATATTATACCACAAAAATACCAACATAAATACAGGCAGTCCTCGTACTTACGGCATGTTAGGTTCTTGAAATACGCGACGTAAATCGAAACGACGTAAGTCGAGACATATTTTTTCATATGTTTACATGTAAAACTCAAGGGTTAGGTTCCACACGGACTCGAAATAATAAAAAAAACTGCATTTATAACAAAGGACGTACTTTATTATTAAAAGTAAGTTCTTAAAATAATTATATATTATGCACTTATGAAATTGCTAGTTATTTTTGGTATTTGTGTGTTATTTATTTTAATAATAATTATAAAACTTATACATATGTAATGATAAATAATAAATTAAACTTTTGGCTTAAAGAAACTATCAATTCTAGATTGCTTGGCTTCTTTCTTCTTGCTATCATACAGATCTTGGTAACAGTGGTAGGCTGCACAAATTTTGTTATTAACGTTAAAACTTCTCTCAAAATTAGGATCATTTTCTTCAAAAATTTTCATGGCATTCTTCAAATTTGCAAAGGCTACGGAAAGTTTTTCGTGTAAGTTCTTTTTCAGAGTCACTAATAGAAGAAGCTATTTCTTGTGACTCGAGTGCTTCCTTTTGTACTTGTGCCTCCAATTCAATAAGATCTTCATCAGTCAGTTCTTGCGAATGTGAGCTTAACAGATCATCAATATCATCAGTAGTAACTGCAATGTCAGGCAAACGGTTAGCGCCCCTCACGGACATTGACCTTGCGACAAGTGAATTCTCCGATATGCCGGAAATCGAAACAAATGACGTATGCCTGAGGAATAGTGTCAAAACATTGTTCGACGTAACTTGAAACGACGTAAATCGAAACGACGTAAGTCGAGGACCGCCTGTATACATTATTATATCAAATTTGTATATATTGTGTTCATTTACCCACTTTGTATATTTGGTTTGATTATCCTTCATATTAGCTATTATAACTATAATTATTATGTACTAACATCCGTCCCTACAGCTGTAAAGACCATAGCGTGCGTCATACACGAGTCTCCATACAAGAGACGATCTGCCTTGCAGAGTCCAATCTGAACCTCTGTGTTGAATACCAGACGGTAGTCCTGGCTGTGAACACAATATTTAATATATAACTTAAATATTCTATTGTTATTTATATATTACTAATGGAATTCAAATAAATACTGTGCCTTGTATAATATGACAATCAGCAAGTGAGAGCCTTTAGCAAATTCTTGTTTGATCCTCGGATTATTGGATATTTATAAAAAATATTTTAGATAGAAATTTTGTATCATCAAGTATATTTGTTATACTATGCAGTAATTAGGTTAATTTTCAAGGCAAAATTGCATAGGTTTTTACTGTGACTATACATGCATCAGGTGGTATTTAAGGTCAGACGCTATCCAGTTCTTAGACAAAAACATTGGATTATAGAGAGCGACAATATGGCAAAGATATATATTATTGTTGTATTTTAAATGCCTTCACTTCTAAGTTTCTTGATTATTTATATTTTATATTATAGTGTGTGTGGAATGAGAAACTTCTTTTTAGTGCTATATAATTAACTTACGCATCCAAGTCTTCAAGACCATTTTTCCTTTCGAATCTCTTACTTACTTCGGAACCGAACCATACCGCTTCACCACCCTTTATACTCTCCGCAACCACTCTACAATGAAAAAAATTATTAATTTTTTTATTAAGGTGTGAAATAACGTTATTGTTCAATATTTAGTTATACGAACTGCATAAGAGTCTCTATGGGTTGATTGTTGTATGCTGTTTCACGTCCTCCTACCACGTTACCGAGACACTGTAGGGTGTAGAGTGCGCCAAAGGGATTGGATGACCGCGGGTCACTCACCAGACATACCTGGGTACAGGGGTAGCTTCATTATAATATGTAGGAATTAATATTAGGTATATAGTTATGTTTTCATCAGTTGTATAAACTGATTGTTTTATACAATTTTCTAATACAGTCCCAATTAAACAGAATATAAATGACACTACTAATAAGTCTAATCGACTTTACTTTTTGACAGAGAATATTTTATATAGGATGAGACAAAACTCAAATGATCTATATACCTTATCATCTACATTGTACAATGGCTTCACATGGTTCTGGTAGAACTCTTGAGGTGTTAGAGGACCGAAGCTATTGTAAGCCTTCTCCTTGTTGTAGTACTCAAAGGTGAACTTGTCAGGAGGAGTACCTGTAATGGAGTGAGCATATAAAAACAGCTTCAAGGTATAAATGCTATAAGCCTGTTGCTAATATGTATAACGGCAGAAAGCTAGGAAAGCATATAGATTGTGGAATTCACAGACAAAGGTATAACAAAATGTAAAAAAAATAATGATGCTTTTGAATTTGGAACAAAGCAATATTTTGCCTTTGTTATACAGGGTGGGCCAAGAATTCGTTAACATTTGAATCTAATACCCTACGCAAGTAAATGCCGCGCGGGGCGCGGTCTTGTCACTAGCTCGTTTCTCGGAAATTTAGTCGCAATGGATCGCTTCACGGGGCCGCAGCGCGCTTACTGTGTGAAACAATTTTATTTAAACAACAATTCGCTTATTACTGTGAGACGCTTATTTCGTGTTGAATATGATATACACGACTTAAGTCAGTGTCCGAGTGGTCCTTTAATAAAGAAATGGGTGAAGAAGTTCGAAGAGACGGGATCTACACTAAATGTAAAGCAAACCGGCGGCCTACGGACTTCTCGGAGCGAAGAGAACGTACAGCAAGTTTCTGCTTCTGTTCGACATGATCCAGGTTTATCGACGCGCTAACGTTCGTCTGAATTAGGATTATCCCGCACATCGTGACTCCGTATTTTGAAGTTAGATTTGAAATTGCATCCGTATAAGATCCAATTGGTGCAGGAACCAAAACCTAATGATTTAAATTTACGCAAGTCCTATGCTGAAACAATGTTAGATCGATTCAGTAATTTTGATAACCTCTTATTTTCTGACGAAGCCCATTTTCATCTTAACGGACATGTAAACAAACAGAATTGCAGATATTGGAGCAGTGACAATCCTAAAGCTAAACACGAAAGGCCACTTCATTCTCCAAAGATAACTGTATGGGCTGCAATTTCAGCAAAAGGAATAATTTAACCCTACTTTTTTGAAGATTCTCAGCCGTTCAGTTACTGTTAATTCTACTCGGTATGTGAAAATGTTACGGGAGTTTTTGGCACCGATGCTACTGGAATTTTCTGGCAAAATCGTAACACATGGTTTCAACAAGATCTAGCCACTTGTCACACATCCAACGAGTCCCTGTCGGTGGTTAAAGAAATGTTTCCGAAAAGGCTGATTTCCAGACGAGGTGACATTCCATGGCCACCCAGAAGTCCAGATCTATCCCCAGCTGACTTCATTCTATGGGGTTATATAAAGAGTCGTATCTACATCGATAAACCAAATACACTACGTCAACTAAAAGAAAAAATCAGCGAAGAGATATCGACGATCTCACGGTCTCTGTGCGGACGAGTATTCGAAAATTTGGTTACTCGCTTAGAAGAGTGTAAAAATCGAAATGGTGGTCATTTAGATGATATGATTTTTAAAAAATAATTTCCAACTAATTAGCTTTCTTTTAATAAAACTATTTTTAAAATATGTCAAATAGTTTTTTTAAATGATTATTTCAAATGTTAACTAATTCATATCCCACCCTGTACTTATAGAGTGTATTAATAACAAACCTAGGCATGTAGCTACGATGTTGTATATAACGGCTGTCTGTTTGTCGATCGCGTTCTGAATGACCTCTTCAGACACCTTGGAGTCGACCATATCACGCAACTCCTTGGCATATTCGCGTAACTTTAAAAGAAAATGTTTTTAGATGAAGTTTTAAAAGAGACTCACTTGATTAGTGTACTAGTAAACTAAACAAATTTAGGAAAATCTATACTATTATATTTTATGCACCATATGTTAAAAGCTTAATATCTATAAATAATAATATACCTTAGTCTTGATGAGCGCGTTCATGTGCAGACTTCTCCTAGAGCTGAATGACTCCGGGAAGCATTTCTTTGGCATCAGACCGTACTTGTTAACCAGATTCACTATCATGTCCCACTGACCACCATCGTTTATTGGATCCTGAAACAGTATTATGTAATTAATTAAATTTCTTTTTAACATTTGCAGGTAACATAGCCAGCCAGTGAGATATTAGATTATTTTTATAATATAAATGTAAGCATAATAATGCAAAAAAATTAAATTCGCTTCAATTCGCAATATAAAGATAGGAAAGTATATGAAAAATGCAATATTGAAAATGCTTTGCATGAAAATGGTTAGTATTTAATTGCGTTCATTTCAATAAGGCAAAATAAGAATTAAAACATTTGAAAATTTATTTACATTATTGAAATAATTATGATAGAGGTTTTCCAGGAAACCATGAATCGTACAGCAAATAAATATTATCAACTGAATTTTGATAATATTGTATATTGTTCATGAGTAATGTTGGCTATTTAATGACACAGGTAATTTGTAAAACCAATTTTTAATTAACTCCTTAGATTCCATTATCCAGGTGTTGAGGTAATGAGGTTTATATTTTATAGTGATGTTGCAAGCATTAATTTTATTATTATTACAAGTGAATACAAAATATATTTCATATAATGGTAGGTAATATGTGTAATGATTGACAAATGCTTATCAATTCATTGTTCGCATATGCTACATGTTTGATAATGGTGATAAAACAACACTAAAATCAGCATAGCATGTACACATCATTTTATGAAATCTATGTTCTTTAATATTATAACCGATTGAATTGATTGATAGAAGATGTATTACTTTTATATAATTAAAATAATATTCATATTAAGGGTAATACAAAAAAAAAACAGTAAACCATTAAAGTTTACACAAACCATCAATTCTCAATATAGTTTTTACTTCATAGTTAGAGTTTCCTGTTAAAAAAATATTTTATTTGTGAAGTAATCAAGTTCTTTCAGTATTATAAAAAGTAAATGAAACTTTGTCTATCTATTAGTATGTTTTGTATATTAGCAACAAGTTTTATTAATAAATTATGTAACAAAGTAGCTCCTAGCAGTGATTAGTATATGAAACACAAATGTATTATGAAAAACAAATGCTATTGCAGTGATAAGTTTGACTTTATCATTAATTATTACACTCGTGTTATGAGAGATTGAGCAGCTGTTATCAAAGTCAATATCATTTATTACCAACACATATAGTTTACAAAATGATAGTAGAAAAATAAGTATTGTATGATATATATGGAGGATTATTTACATCAAACTGTTTGGAAGATATGTATAAATACTAATTAATAATGTATGAAGAAATGAGACAAGCAGAGAACAGGTATATTTAAACATTAAAGTAATTATATGTTTGCATATAAAGCAACCTGCCTAGCACAAGACATCCAAGAACAAAGCATATTTTATATTGAGAAAATTCCTTATAGTGTTGCATATAACATTCATAGGCATACATTAACATATTACATTACAAATCTTTGAATTTATATGACGATACCTTAAGCAGAAAGTTGACAAGTCGTCCGTCAAGCTTCTCCCCTTGTTTGGCTGTTTTAACAATGTTGTTCAACCAGTAGTGAGATCTCTCTATCTTATCCCAAAAGAATAGGTAACTGTAATTTAAATATGGCAGATTAAAATGATTATATGGTCCCAGTAATAACATTTGGTTCTGTTATATACAGTACAATACTGTATATAAAAAATACAGCTACGTGCAAAAGTATTAGGCACCCCTATTGTTAGTCACTATCTCATTATATTGCGGTCAAGTGTGTGTTTTATGGTTTAGCTATTGTATTAGCGGCAATTTTTAACCAAATTAAGAAAAAGAAAATATTTATGACATCCAGGTGTGCTCCTAAGCGGTGTTTCTTCGAATTTGCTTTTTTTGCGTTTCGGGTTATAGTGTGTTATCAGTGCTTGCAGTGAACATACACGTCTTGTACGCAACTATTCCTATCACAATTCTAAAGACTAACATTTAACGTGTTAATCATGCTGAAAAAATCTGAACTTAGTGCTGAACAGCGTCTAAGAATTAAGATTTTACATGAACAAGGCATGTCTCAGGTTAAAATAGCCCGAGAAGTGAAGTGCTCGCGATGTGCAGTTCAATATGCTATCAATCGCTTCAAAGAGACTGGCACCCATGAAAATAGACCAAGAACAGGCAGAAGAAAAGTTACTACTGAACGGGAAGATCGATTGTTGATTAGGCAGTCTCTACAAAACAGGAAAAAAACTGCTTTAGAGCTCGCTGCAGCATTATCTGAGGCAAGAGGCAGCTCAGTGAGTGTTTATACTGTGAGAAGAAGACTTCTTAAAGCTGGATTAAAAGGATGAAAGCAAGGAAGAAGCCGTGGCTGTCAGAACACAATAAGAAAAATCGGTTGGAGTGGGCACTCAAACATAGAGATTGGTCAGTGGAAGATTGGTCCAACATACTGTGGTCAGACGAATCTAACTTTGAGGTATTGTTATTTATTTTATGTACAATATTAAAACACATAAATGTTTTTAAAATAACGTACTGCAAGAAAAATAATAACTTTGAAAATAAATGTGTTTTTTTCGTTAGGCATAGGTGTTTGGAACACCCGGTGTGACTTATGTTAGGCGAAGGGTTGGCGAAGAATACAACCCAGAATGTGTGGTTCCCACTGTTAAGCATGGTGGAGGCTCAATAATGATCTGGGGCTGCATGGCTGCCGACGGAGTGGGCGAAATGGTGTTGTGTGAGGGACGAATGAATAGTATTAAATACACTGAAGTTCTGGAAACAGCACTAGCAACGTCGATAACGCAAATTTTCGGTGATACAAACACCGATGGCCTGAAATTTCAGCAAGACAACGCCACTTGCCACAAGTCCGCGCATACCATGAAGTGGTTTGCTGAAAATCATATTGATCTTTTGGACTGGCCACCACAATCACCAGACCTCAACCCGATTGAGCATATTTGGTCCATTTTAAAGAAAAATATCCGCAGGCACTCGATTAGCAATAAACAAGCTCTATTGGCCGCGTTACAGCAGGAATGGAAAAATATATCAAGAGAAGAATGTTTCAGGCTGGTAGAGTCAATGCCAAAAAGAGTGGCTGCGGTTATTAAGTCAAAAGGTGGACCTACAAAATATTAATTATTTTCTTAAAATAAACCATTGTAATCATAAATGCAGTTTTATTTACACTCGCTATGCTAAAACACCCTAAAACTTGTCTTACTGTAGGGTGCCTAATACTTTTGCCCGTGGCTGTATAAACTAAACCTTAGCAGTTTTATATTAAAGAAATTTGTATATATATAAAAAGATTATATAAATTTTATATTTTACAGAAGAAATTTTCTATTTTCACACAAACAATAAAGCTGTCTTGTAAAGATTATTGTTATCTGATAAGTATGTATGATGATATAATAAATATTTGTTGTTTACATTATAGTTACTTTATTTCAACTTTTTAACATCATATTTTTACATAGACATGAGATTCATAATTGTTTAATTTTGTATACTACCAAAATGGCTTAATTTCTAACCTTACTGTATACAACCTTTATTTTAACCTTTTAGCTTGAATGAGTAAGAAAAATAAATATACCTTTGTGAGAATTCAAACTCTTCAATGCCATATTTCTTCATAAATGGCAGTCTTATTACATTTAGAGCAGCAAATAGCCAGCACCGTCCAGAATTTTCTTGGTTGGTCACAGGCTTTCCTTCTGACTCTATCTATAAATGTTGACAAACATGAAATTTTTCTATAACACTATTGAAAAATATGTTTGTCTAATATTCTGGCAGCTCCTAAATAGATGCCAGTAATTATTACCTTAACATTGTAAACATGAAGAGATCTATCAGTCTTTCTTCTGCTAATAGCCACTTCAAATGGATCAAAGCGGGTGCAAACATTTTGAGCTAGTTCATTTTTAGGACAGCCGTAGAAGTCATTTTTCAGTTTATCTAAAGTTTCAAGAGTCAAAGGTTCTGAAAGAAAAACAACATTGAAAAATCCTTTGTTAGATCTCTCTCATGGTATATTTATACATTACTATAGAATAAATTATATTCCATTTCCCTTCCAATAAGTCATAAATAGAACTGTGATTCACACTAAACTCTTTATTATTATTATATCAAATAACTTTCTTAGGGGTCTGATAATAATTTTCATGTGACTATATTCTTTAAAAGCTATGACAATACAAACCCTGACTCCCAAAGTCTCCTTCACTTACACTCTCCAGTTTGTATTTAATTAAAACAGATGTTTCATACAAATGAACTCACTTGAGCAACATTTAGTATTCTTGTATCTTAAAAATTTTATATTCACAATTCTATATAAAGGTAGTTTCATAAACACGTTCATTTCATGTTGTACCCATTATAATAAAATTAAATATAGTGAATCTTTTAGGTTTTTAACCCCTATATTTCTTACGAAATATTGAACTGACAAATACTGATTGACAAAGATATTTTTTTTTATTGCAGTCCTATAACGTTTATATACGGTCATACTGTTAATTTATAAATAAAAGAACGTTGCCACGTTCGTAAATACAATAGCAAAGAGGTTGAAAAACAATATAATTAACAAAGGTACTTACTGGAAGACATAGCAGCGGAAGTTATTTTTATTCTAGAAAAACTGTTAGTAAAAATACGTGTTAATAACTTGGGATTTATAATCATTTAATTTAAAACTGAAAATAAATTACCCCAATAAGCCTCAACAGAGCAGTTTCTAGCTATCTAGCTATACCTGTAGAGGTTGAAAATTGAAATCTGCTAAGTAATTTGTTAGGGTTGCCAGTTTAGACACAACAGAAATGTATTATTTAATACTTTATATTTTATTGACAATCCTTAAAAAATGCCATTTATACATTATACTTTTCATATTTGGAAGAATTTTACCTACAATTTTATTATGAAATGAATTTAATTGTTATGTAGGTATAGTAAAAGCACAAACTTAAATAAATAAGTAAAAGAACCTCCTCCTTTAAATAAATATTTTTAGTTACACATACAAGATTAAATCTAAGTTCTTACTTATTATATTTTTTGATAGGCTTTAGTATGGTCATATCGTACTATAATTTAAGATAAAAGAAAGTAATACCTGCATGCTGTCTACATATAAAATAATGGCGATATTTTTAAAATACATAATTAAGTGTAATAATTTGAGAAAATAAATTTTAGATTAGAGTTTTGGGAAAAAAAAATCAATATCTTTTGTTTTAGCACAGTAGGTAACACCAATACTAAGGGTGAGTTACATAAAGGCTGAATGTATTTCACCCTTCGTCTAAATAGTTAATAAATTTATGTAAGTTTTAATTATTCTGCTGCTATTTAATATAAAAATTAAATAAAAATGGCATTAAAAGCCTACGAAGATGCGTGTATGAGAGCTGAATTATTTGGACAACCTAAACCCGACAGAGATGAGTTTCTGTCAAAACATAAACATTTAGATGTCTCGGAATTTGAAGAAGTGGACATAAAGACCACAGAGGTAATTTTTTAATTATTTGTAAAAAAATAATTTCATGCTCATAAATATTTTAATCATTATTAAAACATCGATCGTCAACTTTGCTAATATTTTTCTGGCAGGATTTTGTTTTCTAAATCGATTTTTATTATGTAAGGCAATAAATTTATGTACCTACCAAATGAGTGTAGTATAATAAAATATCTTTTTTGTGTATCATACAATAAAAAATAGTGATAAACCTTTTCGTACTTAAAAACAGTACGTACGTCCTTTATGTAACTATAGCTACGTGTACTGCGGCATAAAAGCGAATTATAATGCAGTTATGTAAGTTTTTAATGAAAAACGTCGATTTTATTGCAAAATAATTTTGAAATAACTTGTATTAAGGGTTATAATTTTTTTAGGAAAATTTTATGATATACCTGCTTACAAATTTACAATTAATTGCTTAGATTCAATTTAATATAAGTTATAACGTATGTGTATTTCAAAGAAAACCTTTCGATTTTTTTTAAATTTATTTTTTTATATTTTGCTCTAATTAATAAAAAAATATATATTTTTAACATAAGAATTCTGTTTAGCTTAGGAAACCATTATGTAGTTTAAAAATTAATAATTTTATTATATAACTCATTTTAAATATTATTGCTTAGCGAGTTTTAGAAATAAAATATTTTCTCATTAACATGTTTTGCTTCTTGTTCTTTGTTTGTATAGTCATCTCATAATTTTTTTTTAGACTTTCTTTCTTGTCTCTTAGAATTTCGGTTGCCAGCCTTTTTAAAAATCTAGAAAGATATTCACAGGGAATGATATTACAGACTGTTTTCAAAGAATCTCTTAAGTTTTGACAAATAAATATAATAAATAATAGGTACATAAATAGACTTTTCACTATCAGCCAGATATACGTCTCCGTTAATTTTACCATCATTATTGTATTATGATGCTTATAATAAAGTCATATTTGTATAAACAAATATCTACTATGTATTAATTTAAATATAGGTACATTTTTGAAGCGTAGATATTCTTTAATAGGTCAGTCCCGTAAGTTTTAGAGCATTTATATAAATGTATCACGAAAATAAGGGTATGTGCAATAGGAATGTCCTTGTAATATAAGAAAGAGCTCACGAAGACGTTAAATAATCGTTTAAACTGGGTTAGATTAGATGCACAACGTGTAACACTTATTAATGGTATCAAATTTGAAGGAAATTTTACCAATCACAGTGGATATGTAGTTTTGTAGATATCATATATCTTTTTTTTTCGGGGAGAAATCCGCTTACAGACTGCCCACTGCTCTGGTATGACAGTGGGATTTGTGTGGGGGTAGCCCAGAGCCTGATGATGTTGGCCCTGGGAATACCCAAAAAACTCCCCGGCTTCCCTTCCTGCCCATATTGGGGGCGATTTGGGGCCTGCTAGAGCATTTCACCAATTCATAGATATCATATATCTATATGTGCAATTGTTCCATATGTGCAATATACGGAAAAGTTACAGAAATGTAAAAGCAATATAAAATTAAGTCGAACAGTCCACATTTAGTTCTCGTTATTAAAGAAGATTAGTAAGCGCTTTTCTAATAAGAATTTGTATTCTTGTAACGACTTCGAATATTAACTACAAATTCGGATACCCTGTCAGCTTGTCAGATCCTAAACGAGCGCATCTTTTACCCATAGTGGATGGGTAAAAGATAGGTCAAAGACGGGTAAAAGATACAAAAGTTGCGAATTTGTTGATGCCCATATCGGATATGACTTAAGGGATATGTGCTTATCTTTATGTGTCCCACCATGAGGGCATTAAGAGAATGCAGATTCACCATTTATGGTATTGAAAAGATTGATAGTATTTTGTGGAAGACCGACAAATGTAAAGGCGTCAGAAAGGAGTTTTTACTAACAAATGTCAAGGTTCCAGCAGGTGAAGAGACAAAGAAAACAATCTTTTAGCGATTTGATGAACAATCAATCTTTTATTAATGGAATTGGATGAGAGAATTGTACTGACAGTTACAACATAAAAACGATTTAAAATAAAATATTTTATTTTAACACAAATAATTGAATATTTAGTCAACAAAATTATTTGAGTCATTCGGTAACAGCCAATTCTTTCAGCGTTGACAATCCGGAAACAATAACATCAAATTATCTCCGATAGGCCGTGATGACGATCACTAGCAGAAACCTTCAATGAGAATCAAATTGTCCTAAGAATATCGTGTCACTTCTATACATTCAGCACACATGTTTCAGAATCACGTAATAAAATTATAAACCACTAGAAATAATCAAATAAAGGGAGAAAGGAAGAAAAGGAATTGATAGTTTTATAACATGTTAATTATATAAAAGATCTGTTAATTCAAAACATACGAATTTCTTTTTTTAACTCATTAAATTGGTAATATTGTTAAGTTTTTAAACTAGAATTAGTTACCAAGAATTCTGTTAAATATAACTAGATTACAGAGAATTCAAAGGTCGGTTTTACAACTATCTACATTCCAGTAGCTTCAATATAAATAGCTGTAGATATGCATGAGATAATTTAATAATAAAAGTGTGTGCTTCAACGAACAATGTCACCGATATTAGGTATATGTATTAAAAAATTAAAGAACAATAGGTACAAGAAATACACAAAGCAGAACCTTAATATATTTTGTTCTACCTATTGATGGATTATTTTATCAGTTACATATAACTTATAACAAGTTTTTAATTTATGAAATGTAATGATTGATCATAATTTATATATTTGCTAATTAATATGAACATTGGATAATGACAGTGGGTTTTTTTTTTATTTATAAGTTTTTATTGTTCAAGATCAGTAATTTTCAGAACAATTGCTATTTATTTAGAACGTTAAATGGAATTAAGAACGACATATTCATGTTAAATGTCATTTATAAATTACATTGTTCTTTATTACGAATGATTTTTTTGTTACAATTTATTCTTCATAGTTATTATCTATATATTATTATGGGATTAATATTATATGACAGCCAACAATATTATTTCATACTTTTTATTAATGTGTAATAAAAACTGTAATAACAAACAATCGAACTTTAAATCATTTATTCAAATACAGACTTGAGAATCCCTTTCTAGTCAAGTCAAGAAACTGTTTTCTATTATCCAAAAGATATATATATTTTTTATTTTATGCCATTTCTATAATTCCTATAAGAAGTTTTATTAAGTTACTAGTAACTAACATGATAATTTCTTCTGTAATCTCTATCTGTGAACTATTTTTGTACGTGACACTTTTCAGTCGTTCTCCAAGTTAAATCACTGTCTAAGTCTATATTTAGAAAGATTTGAGAGTACATGGGATGTGACCTGTGAATAAATTATTTGTAGTAACATAAATGTATAAATATATGTACGATAATGTTTTATTCATGAACAAAAGTAATGAAAAGATGGAAAATTATGGAAATTATGACTTTACTGGTTAAGTTATATTAAATACAGCTGCATAAATAATATTTATCATGAATATTTCTTTTTTTTAAATTAAATGTCTGTGTTTTTAATGTGTGTATATTTTTTCAAGTGCATCCGATTATTTACATGATGTAAATGTGGTATATAAAATATGTTTTAATATTATTATTTTTTTTTTTAATATTTTTAGTTGGTTTCTGAGTAGTAAAATCTATTTAATTAGGAATTTTCATATTGATTTTCTTTATTCAGAAAGAAAATATTCTGTAACTTTCATAGGCATAAAATTATTGTGAACATTAAATAACAGTGTCCATAATTAATATTGTATTATTATCTAAAGGTCATCTGTACTGCAAAATAAAATTAAAGTCTTTAAAATATTAAGCAAAATACAGGTAATGATAAAAAATTATGCATAAATCCCTATCTTATGTATTCATAATTATAGGACCTTTAATTATAAAAGTTAATTTCCAAATAGCCATTCAATTAAACCTTTAGAGTTTTAAGAAAGAAAAATTGTTACCATTACGTACTTAGTTATAATAAACTTATGGTAAAGTTACAGACAAGAACTTCAATACATAATTATAGCTATGTACATATTTGCTATGCAGTAACTACTTAACGAAGACGAAATAAATACGACAAACTTTCTTTTAGAAAAATATATTTTTAAGTGTAAATTGTGATTCTATATTAATCTTTCTATATTTTAATTATTATAAAACATCGTCAATTTAGGTAATAGAGCTATACCTAGAGAATAAAAGAATTCTAATTTTTCTAAGTTTTCATCCCATTACAAGAGAATATCTTGGTTGTATTATTGAAGATGCTTTTTAATGCTTTCAGAATACGGCCATGTTGGACGATGACTTAAAAGAAGCTAGTGGAGGTCTGACTGAGTTAAATACAATCCTTAATTCAACTCAAACAAAACTAAACCGGTTAAAGGTAAATGAAAAATTTTAATGTTATTAAAAAAATATTAAATTGTTCGTCTTTTATATTGTTCATATAAAACATTTTATTCCTCGCCTTTTTAAAATGTATAACAATAATTTTGGTAACAATTTATACAATTAAAACAATCAAATAAAACGTCAGTATATATAAACGTTTAAACATTCTGCAGGGCGTCTGCGGCACAGTTACGAACTTCTTCCGCATTAAACTTGCGGCGAAAGACAATTTATCTTATTCCAGCGAACCAAGTTATATCGGTCAGACGAATTACGATAAGGATTATATACCACCGAAAAATTCAGACGTGGCTTTTATAAATACAGGCCTTGGCCCCGACGACAATGAAATGACACCTCGCGCGAACAAACACAAGCAAAATGGCGCTGACATTAATTCCGCGCTAGCAGATTTAGAAGCAATGGAAATAGTCGAGAATACATCTTTATTGGGTCAAGCGGCTGTTTTCGATCACCGTAAGCAAATTACATCTCAAATAAGCAAGTTGGATAACATGATTCTTCAAGCAGGCAGAGCTCAAGACTCATTGAACAGTCAAAATAAACAAATGAGGGCATTTCTTCGATAATGTCCTGAGAGTTACGCATGTTTTTTCCGCTATAGCCAAATTACTTCGAACATCTCTTAAAGCTTCAAGATTTAGAATATATACTTGTACTTGCGGTGTTGGTTGGCATATAAATATGTGTATAAATAATATATTCTATATTATTAATTCCTTCTAATGTTAACCAACTGTTAGAAAATAGTCTAATATAGACTAGCTGTGATTTCTAATGTATATGTATTTAATATATTTTAAAACTTTTAGCTCTAAAAACTAAAACAAACGAGACGATTTCTTTCAGTCCCGAAACAAACAGCTCACCAACCTATATTTAACGTCTCGTAATGAAATATTCATATACTTTTTGTTCTATAGTTTAGAATGATGTAACTTCTTTCCGCTTGCGAAAAGTTATACTGAAAAAAATACAAAGGAATGAAAAAAGAACAAGTTACTGTTGGTGACTGTTAAAAGATATTTCTCAACATTTTTTACAAAACTTTTCCGGAATCATGAAAATCGTCTCTTTTGTGTTTCTTTACTCTGTTAACAATTGTGAATACTGGCTTGTAATTACTTAGTTGTTTAGTTAAGAGAACTTTTTTAATAACAATCTTATTTCTCTTTATTATTCCTACAAAATTTCTTTATTACTGACAAAGTTGAAATAGGGTTGTTAGCATAACTTCCTACAATATTTGCACTTGAAAAATGAAATGGGATTATAATGCATTGCGAAATAATTGAAAGAGAATATTTATTATACAGACAAGATATATGTATGTATCCTTAATACTATTATATTCTATTTACTGTTCTAAAGCAAATGTTGAGTAATCCTCTTACCAGACTCTCATGCAAACGTATATTTAATAAACGTCTGTGTTGTGGGTATTCGCATATTAGTTGTACAACTTTGTATAAGCTTCTCTGGCTCTATTGTACTTACTTTAACTAACTACGGTACTAAAATATTTCATATTCTGTATAAATTATTTTCATTTCGGTGAGCTAAAGAGGTTCTAGTGTTGGTAAATCTTATTGTGATGTGGTTGGTGCTTCTCTTGTTATAAAGTATACTCTATTGAAAGTGGTGTTAAAATGCTGCTGATGTAGATTTTGTAATCATAGTATGTTGTATGAAGTTACGAAATGTATTGATATATTCAACGAAGTTTAAACTTGAATCTAAATTATTTTTCATATAGCTTAGGCAATTATATTGCGATTTAGTATATTTTTGGCTGTATATTAATGATTTGATAGCTTGATGACAAATAATAGCTTTATATATAGGGTGATATGAAATGTCAGATAGAATTCTTTAAATGCATAGAAATAAAGTTATTTTTAAGCGCTTTACTGTGTGTATTATTGTATTACTTATATTCATTATATCCTCATTGATGATATTATAAACATTTCACTTCTAGTTACAAACCCTTATACGTAATATTCGTATATTACGAAATATTTTCCTACTAGTCGTATGTTAAATTACTTATACGAATAAATGTATCGTGCCGCTAACACTATTCCTGTATGTCATTTTTGAGCTGGCAGAAAATAATATAATAATTACAATAATCAGTGCAATGTTATTATAAAAATTATATTATCGACTTCAAAGTCTTTATTTTCAATGAAAGACCATGAAATAAATAGTTATTTATAATACTCTAATATCGTATAATACAAACATGTAAGCAGCATAGTTAAGGTGTAAAGGTACAATTTTATCCAATAATACAGTTATATTAGAGTGTTGATCAAATTGAGCCAGTGTTATCGGAAGTGCATTCTGAAGAGAACATGAACATCAAAGACCTATCGACATTGCCTTGTCAATGAGACAAGGGCAAACAAAAACGTTAAACGCAATCACATCAACCGTGAAGTCTTCAAATATATAAATGTTCTTATTATCCCTGAGCTATCAATCTTGCTCAAATATCCATTAGAAATGTTACTACTATTCGTTCTCACACATTTAATTGTCTTCATAACAGCCAATCCACACCATAAATACCCGTACGTTTTTCTTCTCGACGTCGGCAATGAAGAGATAGATAAAAGTGATATTGAGCAAATCAGATTGACTGTTCCTGGAGGGTCAATGGCTGTGAAGTACCCCGCTGAGGGTGATGGTGACTTGATAGGGCACGTCAGAATAACTGCTATCGATTTTGGGATTGATTTAAAAGCTAGCATCGCTGAAGGCGGCCCTGGGTACAAATATGTAGTGATAGTCTTTTCTGGTAATCCAGGGAAATCTTATGACGCTGTTGTTTCCATACAAACGCTGCCAGCTGATGATGTTGATGACGTTAAGAGTGATGATGATGATAATAATAATGATCTGTCAAATGGCGCTGATGATGAGACTGATGATAACAATAATGAAGACACTATCCAAGACGATACTGGTTCGGAATCGATGTACGTAACCAATAGCCAATCTGAAGTGATGCAATCCACTTCCAATGTTTATAAATATGCTGTCAACGACGTCTCTGTTTCTGGAATGCAAGCGTCAGATAACGATTTACATGAATATGATGGAAATGAACAGGAAGAGATCAATGTAAATAGTGATGATTACGCCAAAGAAAATACTTATACAAAAGACGATTCTTCCGAAAGTGATTCATCTGTTGCCGCTAGTAATACACTGTCCGATAAATATATAGCTTTTAAGCCTCACATCTACGGAGGTATTAGATTTTACCCTCAAGCCGCGGTTTACACCCAAGATACTTATGAACAGAATGATAACACGCCTTTATCATTCGATGATGGTAACCAAAATGATTATAAATCTAATAACAACCAAGTCGACGATGATGATGCTTTGACTGTAGATTATTGAAAAGAAAATAAATTACTTATACCATTAATAGAAAAGAATGGTTTGCCCAAATAACTTGATAAGTTGTACATTTTTTTAATGTTAAACAAACCAATTGAAATGACTCCGTTGTTTCAAAAGGAAGAAATATGTATCGAAAAAATTTTGTGTGTAAATTTAGGAATCAATATTAAATAGATAAAATTATTACTCTTCGTTGTTTACTTATATTGTTCACAATATTTTATGACTAGAATAGTGAGTGTTGTTGCCAAAGATCGAATCAATACGTTATACATAATATCAATTATTATAGATTCAATAAAACAAAAGAAAATACTTTTTAGAACAACACGTTAGCTATCTCTGTATAATATCATCGAAGTAATTTAACTTATAATTTATTTAATGAACCCTGAATTTTTTATCCATAAAAAGAGCTTAAAATAAAATGAAAAATCTGATAAATTTAAGTGCGACGATTCCTGTATGAATGATAGATGTACAGATAATTCATTAAACGGTACAGGTTTTTAAAATAAATTATAATGACGTAATAAATAATAAAGCAAACACTATTCTTAGGAAGTTTTACTACGGTTTAGGAAAATTATTGTCCTCTTGCTTCGACATACGTACGTTATATACGTATATTGTTATATAACAAACTGTAAAAAGGTTTTTAAATTCCAAAAAGCTTTATTTTTAATGAATATCTAAAAATTACTTTCGGATTTTCCTTTCCGATACTTACTAAAATAAATTATTCTAGAATGTAGTTTAACTGGAAATTTCCGCAGAGATAACATACATACAATTAAAAGTTAGTTTTTATGTTGACAGCACAATTAAGTGTTTTAAATTATATAGACGCGATATGTTTAGGTAAAACGATAAGCGGAAAATTAAAGAAAAAATCATAAAAAAAGTGATAGTTACTCTTCAAAATATCAAAATCTATAATGGACCTACCATATTACGATTTGAAAAGCCCTATTCAAACTAATTTGATTTAAGAACTTAGATTAAGATAAGAAAAACAAACACTTTGTATTTATTATGCATTTGAATGCATATGTTTTGTGGCAAACGGTATTTCAATTTACTTTAATGGATACGTGTACAAATCGAGCCATCGGATATCGATAAGCCACCATTATATCAACGTACTCGTGTGGTGTGGGCGTACACGCGCTCGCTCCATATATGTATATACACGTGAAAGTAATTTTTACCGTCTAAATGATAAACTCGGATAAAATAACGAAGTCGTACTCTGTATGGGGTAAAAATCAAAAGTATTGAAGTTTTACACGTTCCGTCATTTATAATGGCCGATAATTTCAATGACAATGACAGGTTCGTGATTGAAAATCGTAAATAATAAAAAATAACATATTTATGTTTAATCATAATCATGATTATATCAGTTAGTATTTTATTCTTGTATTATGAGAGGAACCCTTAATATTAGTGAGCTACGTAACTTTTATATCTTAATAAAGTTTCCATAAATAATAATAGCTTCACCATTAATATTTTCAATTTCAATGTTAAATATGTCTTATTTTTTTATTGTTTTGATATATAACTTTAACCAGTGATTTTTACCTTATTGTTAAATAAAGTTATGGACCATTTCAATAACTAAAAAAAATTTAAGATACGATCAAAAATCATAATTGTAATCATCAGTGAAAAAAAAATTACGAACACAAAAATTAAAAAAAAAACCTTTTTTAAGAAAAAAATGAACAATACGGTGTTTAAAAATGGAACAATATTCGTTGATCTCATACAAACAAAACAAACGCTTCGATAACTGAATTCACATCTGTATGCACTGACGAGTGACGTTGCTCGGTCGGGCTGTGTAACGGTCAATAAAATTGCAAATTTTGCTTTTTGAGGCAAAGAGATCTATCGAGATCAGCCCGTTCCATTATTCCAGATGTTTTAACAATCACATAACAGTTCCACGAAATAAGGCTAAAGTCAATAGTTTTCCTTTTATCGTTTTGTGGACACGAATGGGAGCGAACGTATATCTGTAATTTTTTTATTACTTATTTAACTTTTGTCTTGTCATACCTTCAATATGGAGATGTATATTATTGTATGCCATTTAATTACTAATAAAACGTTTTGACATTTTTTATAGTATAAAATTATGAAGGCTATACAATAAAATATAAACAGCTGAAACAAATTATAAATGTATTAATTTATTACATAATAAAGTATGTTTTTTATTGTCATGGTCAGAAAACAAAAAACGTTTTGTTTGAATACGCTCTAGACTATTTTAAAATTCGTTATAAAATATTTCATGTATAAAACAAAACTTTGCGGCTGGTCGCTGCATATTTAGAACAAAAACGGTGACCGAATGAGATTTGAAATGGAAATGTCATGTCGAAAATAGATCGAGTGAACCGCTATCGAATAAGTACATGAGAGTTAGACAGTTATATACATTTTTTATTTAAGTTAACTACTTATTTTTTCAGCTATTCATGTATAAGGCTACCCATATGGAACAATAGATTTATTTTAAACTAGTTTTTGCCCGCGACTTCGTCCGCGTTAATTTCGTCGTTAGTAATATAGGTATAGCTGACCGGGCGAACTCTATTCCGTCTTAAATAACCCGGTATTGGTATTTATTAAATTTCTACTATTTCAATCAAACAGAATGATTGACATATTAGTTAGTTGTCAAGTCTAATGTCAAAAAATCGTTTGTATGGGAAATAGAAAAGAGCTGTTTTTAGGGTTTTCCCGGCAATTATTCCAATTTTTCTCACCTTTTAAATTTTCCCTGGACTTCCAGGAGTATTTCAAGATTAAAATTAGCCAAATCGGTTCAGCCGTTCTCGAGTTTTAGCGAGACTAAGGAACAGCAATCCATTTTTATATATATAGAAGATAGAAGATTAAACAACTTAGATTTTACTATGATTTTCTTCAATTTTCATCTGTCCAAACACTATTATGACTGTGAAGTTTACTTACAGTAAAAGTATAACTACAAGTAAACCTTACCGATGCAACATATATGCTACGAAATAATTTTCCTGTTACGCTATATACATTTTATTTTATATATGTTTGAAATTGAATTAATTTCAAGGTTTTTAAAATAAGATATGAAAGCCAAAAGGATTATAAAGTTTACAAACATATCATTTGTATTGGTTTAATAATATCTCTAATGTAGATCATTGGGTGCCCTAATTATTGTCGTATGATTCACTGTAACATTTATCGTTATGTTGGATTTATGATTTATATTAGAAATAATTATTTTGTTTATTTGACATAAACTATGTACAACAAAATTTTGATAATCTGTATGTAATCTGTTCAATTTATCTGTACAACTTTTATTTATTAATTTATTTTATAGTATCACCAACAGAAATGACAATAGTGTTACAAATATTATATAGTTAACAATTGATCACACTTGATAATTGTATTTCTTTTTATAGGTAATCATAGCATGCACAAAATATATTACGAGTAAACATGAGTAATTATCACAAGATTGTTTTCTTTGGATCAATTATATAATTAAAAAGAATTTGAATTATTTAACAGTTTTATAACAATATCAATTGCTTTGTATTTAAATGAACATATTAAACGCAAAATAAATTAAATAAAAAGTAAGCATTTTTTAAATTAATTTTGAGTTAATAACAATAATTAATAATTTTAGTTTCAATAAAATTAAAACTTAAATAAATTGATAATCTATAATCTCTTTTATAATATTTCTTTAAATATCTGTTCATTAAAATAAAAACAAAGATCTTTTGATTGAGCATAACATATTTTAACAATCTATTGTACAAAAAAATACAAACAATAGCCCTATATAGAAATAAACTTTCAATTTTATGTGTGCTCAATTGAAACAACGAGTCCGTCCTTCGTTCAAATGCTATCCATTAAAAAAAATAATGACAATAAAGTGCAATTTCAATTTTACGAGTACCCTGACATTTACAATTAGAGTTGATTTCAGGTCGAGTGGGACACGTGTAATAATTTTGTAAATAACACTAAGTGGAGTGTAACCAAATGAATCTTATTTTAGACGAGGGCTTCCTTACCTACTGGATGTTGGTTGATCGTTTTTATAACATCTAAATCGGGCTGTCGAGTCATTTGTGGGAACGAGGAATCGTCGTTTTATTCCACATTAGTCTCATTTACTTCCAAAGCAGGATGTTACGTTTCTTCTTCTTCTACCTGGCAATTTCCCAGCTATAGCCAGGGTCTGCCTTACATGTTGTGAATAGTTTTTGGCTATTTGTTTTTACGACCGGCCGCCTGCCTGACATCAACCCTCTTAAGGGAATCAACATTAATCAGTGATGTCTAAATACTCTTAGAAAGTACATATTACGTTACGTTACGTTTATTTGATATATTTTATAATTAAAGAGTGGTATTAGTTATATTGTCCTTCTATTATGCTAGCTATATCTTGAAGTGTACGACTTTCAGGACGTGGTAGGTTAAGTTCTATCGATCTAACCCATTCTTAGTCGACCTTCGAGACGGTTACATGATTCAATTGTTATCATGCATACATCATGAACTATTACAAGTGAATAATGTTACTCATGATGTTCACGATTTTTTTCCTATATCGAAGGCATAGAAATAAACACTAAAGGGAAAGTTGATGATATAAAGTTAATTGCATGATTTCAGTTAAAACAGAAGCCGAACTCTTTTATAGAATTCAGGGTTTAAACCATCGATGAATTGTTCAGGAGGGTAGGTCAAACCTTGAATTAACTTCCATCCTATCCTCGGACCCATTGAATTTACGTGGACCGATAAAAAAATCTACAACCGCATAACATAATAAAGATGTATGTATAGTAAAAATATAATTTCATTTACTTCCTAAGGTAATATTTATTTCAGAAATTTTGAATATGTTGTTTAATTTAATGTATTTTAAAATATGATGTATCAATTTTCCCATTACACTATAATTA